TTCACAACAATCATGTTCGGTGTCTGCAAAACATTACTTAGTATTGTTTTCATCAATCAGGAACAACTTGAGCCGTGCAGAATAGTGATTTGATAACATGGCTCAAAATAATGTAGCTATGTAGACCGCTTAATCGAGGGGTGGGGAAAGAGGGTGGTGCATATCCATGCATTCATGTTATACCCTAGGAACAACAGCTTTCCATATGGAATATTTCTCGACATGAACAACTTCGTGTTCAATTAGGGCCTTTTCCTCCTCCGATCTCGTATACATTGCTTTTTTAACCAACAAAAGGCTTTAATATTTCGTTGCAAGGATGATTTCACGGGAATTCGATTTGAATCTGAGACACGAATTGTCAGAGTTCTGTAAGGCCTGGCAAGATGTCGTGAAACATATTCATTAATTGTATAGCACAATCCGGACTTAAATAACGCGAACATGAGCGAATACATACATACATACATTGCCTTTATTTAAAAACAGGGTAAACCATTCAGTAAAATACATGTAAAGCTGATAAATTTCTCTAAACTTATATAAATTATATATGCGATAAATAAAACTAGTGTTCTACCGGGTTGCCGAGTCGGATTAAGCTAAATAGAATTACAATTAATTGTTTAAGATCTTTTAAGTGAAAAAGAGATTCAGAGAATCGCAAGGCCCCAGGCAAGCTATTCCATAATGAAGCTCCACTATATAACTGAGAAGCGTCCGTTTTAGGTTATGAATGAATGGTTTCCATTTGAATCTCTGAGACTATAGTGATTAACTCTAGTGGCAAACAAATCTTGAAAATACATAGGTGTTAAATCGTTCCTGACTATACACGAGAATCGATTTTTGCATTTTACGGTTATCATGCAATTTATTCCAACCAAGTTTTTCAAGAACAGAATAATGCTATTTTTATTCACTATTGGTTAATAGCCGTGTGTAAAATGGTAATGCCTAACCATGCGCGATGCGGGACGACAGTGGTTCCTGTATTCGTCATTGTTTTGAAATATTTTACATGATCCTATTGGTTGAAACAACAGACTAACGAACCTCAGCCAATAGGATCATGTAAAATATTTTAAAATGAAATTATAAGAAGTTCGAAAAATTTGTCAGAGATTAGTTTATTTATCTTTTTATTAGCTTCGGTGATATAGTCTTAAGTGGTAAGTTTAGGAACGTAAAAATGAGCTTCCTACCTGATGTAATTATACATTATTACATTATATTGACAAATTACCGAAAAATTTCTCGCTCCATTTTGGGCCGCCTATGGCTATGATCCAACGAGTAACGGGGGACTTTTTTGACGGGGGTAAATGACGTATGTCTATTAATGACATCACAACAATGATGAGGCTGGATGTTAACGACAAACTTCTGCTCGTTTATTTTTCATATCATTCTCATCCTCATTCAATAATTGTTGAATCTTCGAGCGAACCGTGTAATGTTCTGTTTATTATACGGACAAAAACAAAACGGGAAAACTTGTTAATGAAGTTTCGTAAGAAGACGCTAATCTGATCTTCCCTCACACATGCACCATATTATATAATTAAAAATATTTAAAAGCCAAGCTGATAGAATAGTGAATAATGAATTTAAAATTTTCAGTTCAAAATTTTGTGTTTTAATAGTTTATATTCTTGCGTTTTTTAGAGGGTTCCTACCGGTTGTTATCAATTTCCTTAGACGAGTTCCAGTTATTGGAAATATACTTAATCTTCCTGGAATAAGCTCTGTAAGTAGCACATGCAGAATAGACATTATACCAGGAGCCTCACTTCGCATTTGGCGCATTTTTGAGAGTGTGATGCCACTAAGCAAGCAAGAGACGCGAGCGCACGCAAGCTTAATGACGCTAATTATTTGTGTCTTGTTCACGCAATCCTAGTGTGTGCAGGAGCTTTTTCATGGGGGTACAAAGTTCCTGCACACACCAGGATGGCGTATAGAATTGCGTAGAATGACGCGTGCGCTTTTGAAAAATTTCGGACACGAAAATATTAGCAAAATGCGAAGAGTGAGGTTTCGGTATAATGTCTATTCTTTCTAAGTAGTATTATGCCTGAGAAAGCATGAAGTTAGAGTACGGTTTTAAGCATCAAGTACTACTTCTGTGATTTTGCTATTTAGCTACCTATCCTTCTTCTTCACTTCTAGGTTGTGAACAGAATTGCTGGGGATCCTTCCAATTCTATGGTCTAATACGGAGTCGACTTTCTAATATCCGATACGATGTCATGTTTTTGAACAGCTTGATGTTTCTCTGGTGGATGCGGTGTTCAGTTTTTGTGAATACGATAGACTATTTCTAAATTGCGCCAAATTACAATTCACGTTAAAAATTAAGTCGAATTTCAGATAATGCAAAAAGAAAAAAGACTTCTAAATCATGTTATGTACTCGGTAGACTTGATGTACGGCGAGGATGCAAAATTTCGTTGGAAATAAATATGTGCGCTAAAACGATTGGGCTATACGTGAAATGTATGATAAATCTTACTACAAATTGATCAAAGTTTTTATCGAGTAAATTCTTTTCACGTGTTATTAATCTCACAGTCTTATGCAGCCAATAGTAAGTGTCGTGGAAGGAATTAGGGGGGGGGGTGGGGACTCGTGAGGAATCGAGCGCTTGAAATGTTATATTGCAACAACATGAAGGATATTATAGTGAGAGGTTAAGATACTGACAACGGATTGCCAAATACGGTTTAACTGCTTTTGTCCGCTGTTTGCAAATACTAAATGCATGGTAAATTACAATTCATACCAGATGATTTTACACTAGGCTTCCTCGAATTTCGTAAGTTTTTAAAGTGTCTATACCATGGTAGCGGATTTTGAATATTTTAACAGTTTTAACCTTAAAAGGTATTTTAAAATACTTTGCAATACCCCATTTTAGTCACGAGACCGCGTGCCATATAATAAATGTTGTTAATGAAACATTTTGTCGTTGGATTTATTAGCCTTGAACGTTGCCAGCCAAGACGTCAAATCGGGAATTGCAAATCATTCAGTTTTCTTTTGTTTTACGGAATTGAAATTCGATTTTGAAAATCCGTAACAGGTGACGAAAACAAAAATCGTGATTTTCATCAGCTTTTGAAATTTCAAAACGCAATACTAATTTTTGAGATTTCAAAACTCATATCAAAATTAGTACATAAGTCAGAAATTTTAAGAATTGAAAAATACTGTAATAAAAAATACAAATTTTACAAATTATATTTCTTAAAACTTCAAAAATTTTCAAAATTTTTAAATTGCTAGTACATACGTCAAAAACTCTTAAAAAGTTTAAAAATATGAAAAATATTGAAATTTAAAACAAAATAGTATATATGTCAGAATTTTTAAAAATTTAAAAAATACTGGTACATAACTGAGAAACTTTGAGAATTTGAAAATTTGTAAAAATTTTAAAAATTAATGCTTGGGTACTTGTCAGAATTTTTAAAAAATACTTTGGTATCTCTCAAAATTTTAAAATCAAATTTAAAAATTTTGAAAACTATTGAAAAATGATATAGATATAGGCCAGAAATTTGAAAAACTTGAAAAATGGTGGAAATTTTAAAAATAATTCGATCAAAATGCTTAAAAACCTTAAAATTGCTAAATAATACCAGTTCATATGTCAGAGATTAATTTAAAAATTTTAAAAATTGTAAAAATTTTCAAGAATTAAGAATGGAAATCTTAAAAAGTTTTTTAATTCCGAAATAATCCTTCAAAATTAACTGAGCAAATTACATTCCGTGGTAAAAACATAAAATTATACCTTGCAGAATTTCAAAAAGTTAGCAAAATCTGTAGCGGAAGAACAAGTTAAAAATGATAGTTTTCGTAAATTTTTGAAATTTCAAAATTCGCTTTAAATTTTTTGGAATACTCCAAAACTAAGCGGAAATACATTCTTTGATTGAAACTACATTCGGGCACATAAAATGATATCTTGCGAAACTTCAAAAATTTAGCAAAGTCATTTTCCAACGAAGGAGGAACGAAGGAAAAATCGTAATTTTCGTCAATCTTTAGATTTTATTTACATTTTATTTACATTTTACTTTCAAAACACGGTATTCAATTTTTGAAATTTCAAACTTCGAAATATAAATTTTATCTTGAGAAAATTCAAAATTTTCGGAAAATGCGTTATGCGTTGTGAACAGGGAGACAAAAGAAAAATCGTTACTTTTGTCTATTTTCGAAATTTCAAAATTCGTTTCCTCAAAATACCACGAAATAGTCGAAGACTAAGTGGAATTACATTCTGTGATGAAAACAGTAGATTTGAGAACATAAAATTATACCTCAAAGAATTTCAAAACTTTTAGCTAATCGGTTATGAGGGCAGAAGAAAAAATGGTAATTTTCTTCAATTTTTCAAATTTCAAAATTTAGTTAAAAATACATCAAAATAGTTTAAATTGTGAAGTGAAACTGCAAAGTGAAATTACATTCTTTGACGAGAACAATAAAAATTTTACAATTGAGCACATAAGATTACACTTTTCCCAAATCGTCACTTTTGTAAAATCGGTAACGGAGGAACAAAGGAATAATCCTTATTTTCGCCAATATTTTCGAAAATTAAAAATTCGCTTCAAAACACCTCCAAATAATCTCAAAGTGAAATGTGATGAAAACAGTGTATTTCGGCACTAAATAATACCTTAAAAGATTCAAAATGTTAGGAAAACTAGGTAACGGAGGATAAGGAAAACTGGTATTTTTTGTTAATTTTTCAAAGTTTTAATATTCGGATCAAAATCTCAAAAAGGTAAAAAACTGAGCGAGTGTGCAGTCAGCAATAGCCGGTTTAAATTGAGGAAATGAAGGCAAATTTATTCAGACTAACTAAATGTCATCGGTGAAAATTCACTTGTTCACAACAATTACGACCACTGGAAACCAGGGTTTAAGATCTCTTACGTTTACTAACGGAAAAACAATTACGGACAAAGCAAACAAATTTCACGCTAAAACAATGTCATTTATTAGATAGTATGCCGCCTAATACAAATATTCCAAATAATTTGCTTTGAATCCATAGTATTTCCGGTCATTTTGTGCGTTTGTCGTGAATCTAAGATACATATAATAGGTTGAGACAAATTTGCCTTGCGGAAGTAATATGCCACTTAAATTCACCAGTCGTTTATCAGTACTCTTTGGCCCACGATAGATTTCCACGCGGTCGTAACTCTGCTGTGTGTTAAAGTGGGAAAATGACAAGTCAATTTGTTTTCCAGGCATATGGATCAGCCAGATACAATCACGATTGCTGGGGTATTGACCCTTGAAACCAGGACTTGTTATAGCACCTACTGGTGCAGTGAGCATTCCACCACAATCTAAATTAAAGTATATATACATCTATGAGATCATTAATTTTAACGGGTCTTAATTCTTTATGGGAAGAGATTAAAATCATGATTGACTTGATGTGCATAGCAGCAGGTGAATAGCATAGTCATAGGGGCAGGTGCATAGCATGGTCATAGGGGCAGGTGCATAGCATAGTCATAGGGGCAGGTGCATAGCATGGTCATAGCAGCAGGTGCATAGCATGGTCATAGCAGCAGGTGAATAGTATAGTCATAGGAGCAGGTGCATAGCATGGGTAAATCAGCAGCAGGTGAATAGCATAGTCATAGGAGCAGGTGAATAGCATGGTCGTAGCAGCAGGTGCATAGCATGGCCATAGCAACAGGTGCATAGTATAGTCATAGCATATATCATGATTGACGTTATGTGCATAGAGCATAGTAGGAAAAATTAAATAAACCTTACCAACTTGTGAATATGTCAGACGGAATCCATTGCTTGCTGTAGCGCTGTTCGAAACAAATCTTATCCTCATGCTTTTACCAGACGAGGTGATGGCACGAGGTTTATACCCCACCCCTGAAAACTCCAGAATGGGTTCAGTTTTGTCAGTATCAAAGATGTACAAGAAATCTTTGCCAGCTTCAGTCTTGAACTCGGAAAATTCAATACGAACTTTCTTGCCGGTGGGGACCGTAATTTTCCAGGTACAATACAAATCGTTGTCGTAGGGTGATGGGAAGTTAGGGGACTCGATTTCACCAGAAGGACCGTGTTTGAAAGAGCCGCAAGATGTAGCTATAAAAAAGTGAAGATCAATCAATATAAAGGTGCTTTTACACGATGGAATGTTTCTTTTAACTTTGGATACAATTATACTTTTGGAGATGTAAATTAATGAGTCTTAAAAATCGTCTATTAAGTGTGATAAACACAGACTTTTCGTAGATGCCAAATTTAAATCTATCAAAGTAGGAATAGTTTAATGTTTGAGAGGCCATTGTAAATTTCAATATATTATTACAAAATGCAAATTCTATTATAGATCATGGAACAGGAAGCACCTAACATTCTAGGACTGAGGGTACCAAGAAAAAATTACTTATCACCGATTAAAAAAGTATTAAAAAGTGAAAGTCATTGAAAAGCAACATCGGTGGTCCCTAGTCTTGTTGTATACATTCCTATTGATTAAACTAACCCACGCAGGTAGGTGCCGATCCACTCCATAAACCATTTTCCTGACATTTCCTGTACTGTGTTCCAACTAACTTGTATCCAGGATTACAATCAAATGCTAGTACTTTGTCATATGTATACAATGATCCAACTCTGTAGCCGTTTGCTGGTGCAGGAATCTCACCACAGTTCACCACTGAAGTAAAAATTGACAAAAAAAGAGTTCAGTAATGACTATACCTGCGATGACTATTGTTTAAACATGTTTTAAAATGTTTTCTTCTCCTCTCACAGTGTATTCACTCAAAAAATAGTCGAGCTAGAAGTCGAAGTGATCTCAGAGCATTAAACCTTATTCTGGCACTACCTTTTACAAAGAAGCACTATATACTTACAATTGCAAGAGGGTAAAGACCCGGTCCATTTTGCTGTACTCTGTTCACATGTCCTTTCGCGATCACCCACCAGTGTATAGCCTTGTTGGCATGTGTAGGACACCTTCTTGCCATATGTGTGTGTATCACCATGTTTGAATCCATTGTATGGGACACCTGGATTACCACACGATCGAGCTAAAAGTAATTGAAATTTCAGCCAAGCTGCCTTTAACTTCCTTCTCTTCACAATACTAGTGGGGTTAAATGTTTTCAAGAACGTCCATTCCAATTTTATTTATTTTTCCAAGAATTTTCAAAAAAATTATTTAATTTTAACGATTTTTAGTCAAAACTATTGTTTCCATTTTGTTTCCACTAATCGTTAAGTTAAGTTGCAACAATTTGTGACACAAGAGTAAGTTAAAATTTCAAAATGATATAATTCATAATATTTACACCCTATATACATAAATCACAGTTATTTTGTAATAGCAGCCAGATCACATATTACTTGACATAGAAAAACATCTCATCTTATGTTAACAAAGTATATGTTTCAAATGAGGTTCTCCAAGCAGGGTAAAAGAGGAAATGAAGAGCCCAGTGACGCAGCCAGCCTGACGATTTTGTCCCGCTATGCAAATTTCGAGTTATTATAATAATTCATGTCTTTAGAAATTTATTGTTTTCACAGTCAATAAACACCAAAATATTAGCATAGCGGGACAAATCGTCAGACTAGCTACGGTACTGTTTTTGCCCTTGGGTAATACTTTCTATGCGAGGCCTCTAAAGTGAATAGTGATACTAACAGATGGGATAAAAAAATCATAAATTTAACTTCTTTACAATATTGTATTTTATTTTGCTCACCCAAGCACTTTGGTAACGGTGCACTCCATTTTCCATTGGCTTCACATTTTATTGCGTTGGCACCTTCCAGGTGATGCCGGTTTTTACAGCTGAAGTTGATGATTGAGTCATATTTGTAATTATTACCATGACGATAACCATGTTGTGGTTCGCCTGGATTTCCACAATCCACCACTAAAAGATCAAAATTATTTAGCTACAATTGCTATGAATACACAAAAAAATATTTTCAAAATAAACCAAGTAACGTTAACATATGGCACTTTGAAAAAGGGAAAGATATTCATGATATTGCGAAAAACATTGCTAATTTTCTCAATGTGATCAATACTCTTACACCTGATCTTCATTATTTATCACTTTTTGTAAGCAATGAATATAGCTACATAATGGGCGACGGGGTGACAGACATGTACCCGTAATCTCTATAGTAAGTGTTCATAGTTTCTTACATTCACAGGTAGGATGAGATCCGGACCACCTTCTTGTCTGTTCACAAGTTCTAAAAGATGTTCCCTTGACTGCATAACCAACATCACAAGCAATACCAACGGTAGCACCAAGTTCTGACCGGAAACCATTTATCCTACCGTGTACTGGTGCTTGAAGCGCTGGACAGTAGTTCGCTGGAAGAAAAAAACGAGGAATTTCTCAGTCATATGAACGGGGTCTGCGGAAGATCGTTAAGTGCATGGGGGAATATTCATATTTTCACATTCAGAATCATTAGTTTCTTTTGAAATTGATTGTTTTTACGGTCTGCTAACATGAGTATATGAATATTTGCATTTTTTTGACCAGAACTAAATCAAGCTATTTTTTAAAAACCCAGCAATATACTAAAACACAAAGAAAAGATTGATGCTTGTATTCTAAAAGCTCACACTCAAACTCATTGAGTGAGAGATCTCAATTACGTCGTAACGATTCCATGATGGCATTTCCATGCACTGGAATAAAACTTCCATTGCTTAAGGAAGGACGTCCTAATAATTATATGAGTAATAACAAATTTTCTATGTCACACCCAAAGAGTATAAGTGAGCTTTTAGAAAACAGGTTTTAGACTGGATAGCGACATTATAATTATTCAGCCGGAGTGTTATAATTTGAAATACTAAAATTTGCTTTCAGATCCATTCGTAAAAATGATCATGCACAGTTGTTAGAGTGTCAAAGTGTGCTTAAAGTGGTGTTTGGAAGGGGTTCTTTTTATGGGTAAATAAATAGGGAATTTCTTCACTTACGCACGCAAAGAGGCTGCGAGCCACTCCAGTTGCTTGTCTTGCCACATGTTCTCGTTGAGACTCCAAGCAGACGGTACGATGAACCACATGTGAATGTCACGCGACTATTATAACCATTGCCAGTTTGCTGCAAGTGTGCGTGGTCAACAGTACCTACGTCTGCGCATCTTACAGCTATATAAAATTAAAACCAAATTTAGTGGGCATTAAATTTAAGATAGAATGATAGATCTGAGTAAGAAATACGAATACATTAAAATAAAGGGCTGCATGATAAAAGCTTACGTTTACACAGAGGCTGAACCCCAGACCATGTTCTATCTGCCATGCAAATCCTCTCATCCGAGCCAACCAGTTTGAATCCATCATTACAACTGAATGAGACAGAGTTTCCAAAGACAGAAGCACCATTTATTGAGTATTTACCATTATGTGGATGAACTGGATTGGAACAACTGGCCTCTGAACGAGAAGAACACCGTTAATAAATCTTTCCATCAAAACCATAATGAATATTATTAGTATAATTACGGCAGTTTGATTCAAAATATCCAACACAATTTATTATAATTAATCCTAAATGATGAGGGAAATTTAATATAAATCCATAATATTTCACCAATATTAATATCTAAGGTAAAAATTTACTTTAATTTACATAATTTTTCAATTCTTCCACCTAAAATCCAACACAATTCAGAATTGTTTCACAACTTGGTTACTTATAACGAAGCACTTTCTTGTAAGATAATTATTAAGATCATATTTTAACCCTTTCAAAATGAATGATTAAAAAATCCGTGGCAAGTTTTTAGGGTGTAGTATAATTATGGATAATTCCTCAGAATAGTTCGCGCATTATAACGTCACAATCACTTGACTCCGACCCGTATTTCTAAATCGCATTAAAGATCGGCCAGCTTTTCGTAATAGGAAAAGGAAATAGGAATAGGAAAGGATTGTCTAAACTTAATTTTGTTTCAGGCATTTTTCAATTTTGTTTCAGCGACTCCATTAAAACAAAATCAATTACCTGTACACGAGACGCCGTCATTCTGCAGAACGAATCCATGTTTGCAGTAGCATTTACGACCAAGGTATGTGTTGAGACAGTGATGAGCGCAACCACCATTGTTGGTATCACATTCGTTCTTATCTGCGAAAGATTTTCAGTCAGAATTACATCGCTTTAGGGAATGTTCGCATTCATGAGCAGAAAACTGCATGCTTTGGACGACGAAATTCTTTTTATCTTAAGGCCCCGAAACACTGGACGCGATGCGCCAACGCGACGTAAATTTTCAGTTTTCGGAAATGAATTTAATTCTGTAAGGACATTTTAAGGGCTATGTGCCCCAGACAAGCGAAAATGTTCACTATCGTCCTATATGCATCAAGAATATCATAAATGACGAAACTTAGCCGCTTTTAAAAGCTGAAAAATTCGTAAAAATCTCGTTGCGTTGGTGAAGGGTGTGTCGCGGTCTTTATGGTTGAAACAAATACCTTCGCATCTTGTTCCCGAACCACGTAATACCATTCCGTGAGGACATGTGCATCGAAACGATCCTGCACTGTTGATGCAACCATGACTACAGACATTCTCTATACATTCATTGATGTCTTAATAAAAATGATATAATATGAAATATGTTTGTGTGTGTATATATAATATATATCCTCACATATAGATATATCCCCACCAACATTGCACGTTTTCTAGGTATAATACCACACAACAGTCATTCCCAACTCCATACCTTGACAAGTCTTCCCATTGCCACTCAGCCGGTATCCAGCGACACAGGAACATTTGAAAGAACCCGGGAGGTCAGTGCAACGATGGTTACATCCTGATGTCATTGATGTACACTCGTTTATGTCTAAACATAATTATAATTTCAATTGGCATATGAAGTATTCAGCAAGCTGTTAAAAAGGACAAGATGCATCATTGTTTATCTCACTCTCGCATATCGGAGTTTTTCCAGACCATCTTCCCCTTGAACAGGTTATGCTGGAATGTCCCACAATTTTGTATCCAGATTTACATGAATACTGAATAGTAATGCCAGCCATGAAATTTGATCCACTGCGATGACCATTCACTGGAGTTCCTGGATCATTACAAGCGAGTTCTAAAAAGAAGACATAGTTGAAATAGGTAGGTAGGTAGGTAGGTAAAACTTCATTTAAAACCAAGAAACACGCTAGCCCTATCAACTCTAGGCTAGTCTCAATGAGGGGCGTGTTTAAATATTAAAAATAGTTAATATGACTACAAAACAGGACAATTACTCACAGACAGTTTCACACATAAACAGATTATATGAATAGGTAGGATGCGTTTCAGTGTCCAACAACAATTGATATAAACAAAGGAAGCGACTCGGCTGATTTTGCTTCGTTTGGGAGATGGCTCAGCATATTTATAAATTTACTTCCAATTATTCGGAATGTAATATGTTTTGGGTTACCTGTTTGACAGTTATGGCCTGTGTACCCTGAGAGACATTTACATGCGTATCCATAAGGAATCTCAGTGCATTGAGCAGAATTACGACAAGGATTGGGGGAACATGAACCTGAAAATAAAATAAGTGTTAATAATTTTTTTAACTAATTTTATATATCAATTTTATAAATATTTTTTTTAAACTAGAAACCAGATTTTCTGTTGTATTATACTATGGGTCTAAAATGCAATTTTTGCTTAAAAATGTAGAACAATTATCAGAAAAACCAAAGCTCTAAGGAGCTTCGTACTTACTATTATAGTGTTATACTCATCAGATTAGGGGCCACAAATGATAGAAGAAAGTACATGGTTTGAAGATGGGTCCCAATGTAACTAATCTATTTATTTTCTCCTAGGTTAGCTTCTGGTATATTTTATACAAGTTAACCAATAAAACAAAGGAGATTTATATAGAAAAATATGCTTTTATCATTATAGATACTAAATCGACACATGTATTAGAAAATGCTCTACCTGAATGAGATGCGGAGACACTAGCTCCATCCGAAGGAGTTCCTTCATGTTCTGAAAAAAATAGAAGCATATTAAAATTGGTTTATGCAACGTATTTCTATACTCTAGAACTATGTTAGCTGTGAAGAATTTCAATAAACTAACCAAGAGAGCAACCATAAACTTCAACCCTCATTCCAATTCCATTATGCCAAGTCAAAGGTTTGAATCTAATGAATCGAGCAACGATATTTACTTCATTTTTCTTTCGACCTTTGTTGTCTGAATTGCCAGTGAAAGTCTAAAAAACGATTGTTCGTTCATGAATTATTTTATTGATAAAATCATTATATCATACAATGATTACGCTTTTTAAACCAAATGCATTCGTGGTGGTTGGATAATGCAAAAGCAATCTTCTTTGTTTGTGTAGTAAAACTTTGTTGTATACCAACAGTAGCGGTGGAAAGGTCTGGGGTTGAATTAAATTGTAGGGCGTGGCTCAGGAGAATGAAGAACACGATTAGTGGCGATAGTTGTGTAGTTCTGCCATCATTCTCCCAAACCATATCTGCAGCAACATTCAAGTTTCATTAATTTTGGTTAATTTTGTAGTTCGAAATTAATTCTCATCATAAATACATTCTGATTGCGAATGGCGATCATTTTTACATTCCTAGTAATCAAAACATGATAATATACCATCCATAGTATGCGAACCAACATGGGTTTTCGTTGTTTACCTGGGGTGATGTTTTCCACGTGTGTCCATTAGAACTGTATTGTACTTGATACGTTTTCACCCAGTAATCATGACCATCAGCCCCTTGTGTCTCCACTCCAGTAATTATCTTTTTTTTTCCAAGATCAATTTGAAGATATTGACCGTGATTAAAGGAGCTGGGTATCCATCCGCCATCACTATCAGGAACTCCTTTGATATTTTGTGCTTTCACTCCATTGGCTCGAGCATTTTTGGCACTACTGAGTGATGAACGTGCAGAACTTGCACTCATTTGTGCATCTGAGATGACGTTGTCTTCCACACCAAGCATTTCAACACAATCTAGTACGTAAAGATTAGCGAAACCATAGTTTTTAAAACATTATTTAAAAAAAAATAAGACTATGTTCTACGCTTTTCATTATATTTATTTGTGAAAATGCGAAAAATCAGATTCTCTAGTGAGCAGTTCATCCGCTCAACCGTAGCACAGGTTTTCGACATCGGTCGAGGTTGGAATATGTGAAATCTTGAAGTTTAAATTCTACTGATGAACATCATATACCTGATCTCTTATCAATCAAGGTCAAAGATGGTTCGTGATGGTCAGTGATAATAGATATGACTAATACGTGTGATTTCGTAACTCAATCTAGTCCCTTCCATGCCCGTGTGTCTTAAAGTGGTAGTGCATGCATATATGGCTCATGTGTTGCTCATGAATTGTGAGGGTTGCATGTAGTACACGAAGTAGCGTATTTCTCCAAAAATATGTCAAATAAATTTTCATATGCAACTCATATATGTATAAGAATATTAGAAAACTAAATATAAATTATTGCACAATGTAGTTACTTCGTACGTTATGAATAAAACTACGGATAATTTAATTATATCCTCGCAGATAATTGATTATCTGTACAATAGGTTGATGCAGCGGTTTAAATGACTCTCATATCATGCAGAACATATATTTTCAACTTCATGAAGCTTTTAAAGGTTACAGAGGGAGTTCAGAGAGAGAGAGAGAGAGAACAGAGGTTCGATAACTCCCTCCCAGGACTAGAAAGCTCTATTAATTATACTCACTCAATTCATAGTAGTCGTGTCCAGTATTATCTGGATGTGATGCGGCAACATTATGACGATACGATTGACTGAGGTAACATTTCTTTGAAGAACTGTGGTAATCGAATGATCTGCATGGAAATCCAGTTTCTTGTGTACATTTCACTGCACAATCTTCCGGTGAGACCCCGTGCAATGTCTTGTGGTCGTTTGATGGTAGTTTGGCATTGTACACGGTCACGAATTGACGAAGTAAAGAAGAGACTGAAAAAAAGGTAATCATTAATGTGAAAATTTAGATAAGAAAATATGGTAACTCTTAAAGCTTCTTTAGAAACTTACAGTTTTGTTTTATTGAGACAGGCAAGTTTATTAGCATGAATTCAATCTTATACTTTTGGTTGCCGTTAACGCAAGCAATAGCTTAAGGCCCGCTTACACTTTTTATAAAGAGGACAGTTACGAATGTTATGATCATGCGATAAAGCTCCATTAACACATTTGTAACTTGTTCATATCTCTCAAAAAGACACAAACACTAGTCAAAACTAGAAACAGGTCTCTATCTGTATATGGTGACTGGTCTCTGTACTAGCTTTATACGTGAAATATTGCTTCTTTTTTGTTAAACACTTAATTCCATCATTTTTGTTTATAGTTTTGAATAAAGATAATTTTCCTACCGAAAGAGAGAGAGAAATTACGAGAAGCACAAACGGGGCTATATATCTGACTTACCATCACAGGCATAGGACTTTGGGGTCTTCCTAAATTCACCAGTCAGTTCAGGAACAAAATCGGCCCACGAAATAACCACAGCATCATTCCTGGAATTCATGCAGCTTCCGGCAAGATTATAAATGTCCTGTGCGGACAATACGGTGTTGTAGACGGTCATTTGACTCATACCACCAAGGAATGCTTCATAAGGATTATATGTAAATTGGTCTTCATCTGCCTCCCAATCTTGTTCCTGACCAAGCACGAAGTGGCCTCCGGCCCTGATGTAATCGCCTAAAAGTAATGAAACATGTCGTCGATTTCAAAAATTATCTTTTCTGAGTCGTGTATGTTAGCTAACCTATTGGTTATGATTATAGGCGTGTATTGTTAAATTTCAAATATTGTCGACTACATTCGGCAAGCTTTTATAAGTTTCTCTTCATTCATGTTCTCCTGTTTATTTTCTATTTATTGGGAATTAAAAAAAATTAACTATTTTTTTTGAGAAATACATGCATTCATACGAAGTTTGAAGAAGAATTTTGTACTTTCATTTTTGTAAACGACACCTAAATAAACCAAGCAAAGTTAGACGAAGATATTACCTTTGGCAATCGGGCTTGATGCGCGCCTAATTTCCTTGCCGTCACGATAGTACACCCATATACCATTACTACTCTGCCACGTGACCGCAACATGATGCCATCGTCCGTCGTTGATTCGGTCAGCAATGTAACCAGTTTGGTTGTTTATTTGAATGGTTAGGCTTCCATAATCCTGAACAACCAAGCCATTCTCTTGAACATATTGACCCTGTTTCACTGAATATGAAAGTGGAGTGCCGGCATTTTCCTGGTCGTCTGTCCTCATCCAGAAAGCAACAGTGACGGCACGAAGGTTTTCATATAGTTTTCGCTTTGAGAATGTTCTGATTTCTGATGTTGTAAATGATAGATCGTAATCCGACGAGTATTCTGAAAGGGAAATTCGCATTGGAATAAAATCGTAATAACGACATTACACGCCAGCAATACAGTATTGTCATAAAGTGATCGACAATCAGCTAATGTTAAGATTAAAAAGAGGAAATCAAAAAGGTATTGTACAGGGACGTAACTAACTATAATTAGGGGGGTGAGATGTTCATTTATTCAATTCTATTGGGGAGATTTTTTTTGAAATCACAATAACCTAGAAATCTGTCAACCAGGAGGGATAAATGAATTTCCTCTTCCCGACTTATTCCCCTTTTTACAGCTCTTGAATTTACCTTTTCGCAGGATTTTCCAGCATATCTTGGAGGACATTGACATTCGAAGCTTCCATCCTTTTCCACACATTTTCCTCGTTGACAAGGGGAACTATTGCAATGATTAATTCTGGTTTGACATCTTTCTCCTGTATATCCTGCCATGCAATGGCAAATATAGCCGTTCACCTTGTCTTCACACCTGGAAATGAAGATGGTCCCGATTTAAACCACAGGGTTTGGGAATAATAGGACAAAGGCGTCAAAGAAAAATATTGATAGTAACTTCGACAAAGAAATGCTAGTTTGACAGTCGGATCAGGGGCGTGGGAAGCATCAAGAGCTTGGGGGAGGGGGGCACCAGCTTCCAGGGGCACTTTTGGTTAATAAAAAGGGCAGCTAAAAATATGTATAAGGAAGGCATGATTGCCAAATTGCAAGGACACCCACTACTGGTTATATTTATGCTCATCAAAAAGATTTGGGCACGTGTAGGTGGGCATACCTAGGAAACAAAAAAAGGCACCTTCGATTTTAAAACAGTATTTACAGCTATATTAGCTTCACTAAAAAGGCATTTTTCATCACACTCTTGGTCCCTTGAAAAACTTTCAGTGCATCATGTGTCCCTCGGGTCCTACGCCCCCGAATCTGATAGTGTTAACGCTCCTGAAGGGTTCGATTGAAATCAGCACCAAAAATATTTTCTTAAGTAATCATTTTGGGAGAAATACATTATTGAAGACCCAATGTAGTATTCATGGGAAAGAATTATTTCCCCACTTTATATTTCTACTTACTTTCCATTTTGACCACAAGGATCACTGGCACAATCATCTACATTAATCTCACACTGATCGCCTTTATATCCAGCCACGCATTCACACCGGAAGCCATCGACGTCATCTCGACATATCCCACCGTTCTTGCAGGGTTTCTTGAAACAATCATCTCGGTTTACCTCGCAGAATTTCCCTGCCCAGCCATTCTGGCATTTACACACATATGACCCGGGAGTTTCGATACATTTGGCACTGTTTTTACATGGATTACTTCCACATTGAGGAAGAGGTTCGTCGCAGTTCACACCTCCAAAACCTGGTGCACAGAGACATTCATAGCCGTCGATCTGAAATTGAAAATAAAACGAGACCTTCTTTATTATAACTTTGTATGGCTTGTATCGATCACAGCATTCCTGCACTGCTTTATAACTACAGACTTATATTATTGCCAACAATATTGCAACAAAATTTTCCCTTGCTGTTCTGAGAGTGATAAAAAATTGTATGGTCGGGACCATGCAGTTTTACTCAAATCTTTGCGAATCATACCCTAACATTTATCCTAATCATAGGGATCAATCAAGTAAGACAATCAAGTAATGACCACGTAGACTAATTTTCTAATTCTTCAAGCCAGGGATGGGGGGAGACCCTGCAGTGAGCATCAGCGTTAAGTTTCTCAAAAATGTTTTGGTCCTTATACACTAATATGATAAAACCACTCTTTAACTGACTTTGGGAATATACAAATGTCAAATAATTGAATCACCTTACCTTATCAACACATTCGGCGTTACTATAACAAGGATTTGAAAGACACTGACTGACTTCGTCGTCACAGTTTTTGCCACTAAAACCGTCCCGACATTCACACTCATAGCCTTCCCGCTTGTTTAAACATTTCCCGTCGTTGTTGCAAGGATTCGAGGCACAGTTGTTGATTTCTAAAGAAAAAAGTATTGATTTCTGAAGAAAAAACTCACTTTTTCAAACAGATGATCTTCGCATTCGCAAAGGCCAGTTTTTATACATGGTTCGTGGGCGGTAATCGAGCTTTGAAACAGCATGCAACCGTCTCTCCGAATAGCGATTTTGGCAAAAGTTTTTAATGCCCTACATTTTTATTAAACCTTCATTCGCGAACTCAAATCAGTTGGACAAACCTATATTCCATTTACGTCTGACGTAACAGCGTATGCGTATGACTCAGGCCGTGGGTGTATGGATTAATGTGATGGTTACCAACCAGGCAAATTGAAAAATTAGCTTGACCACGGTGGGAATTGAGCAGTGATCTTTGGTTTGCTAGTCTTCAATGTCTTCCAACTGATCTACTATTTCTGACGTATACTAATTTACCTAGACAACGGGCTTCCGTTTTTGCTCCTGGGCCATAAGTCGACTTCTTCCCTTTGCAAGGGTAACAACTTAGTTTTCCCTCCTCGGGTTGATAAAATCCTTTCTCACAAGGTTTGCACGGTTCAACACCACTGGACGAATATGTACCTGGAGCACACTTCACTATAATCAAAGATAAGTGTAACGAATAATCCTGATGGTAATGAGAAATGACACTTATTCGAATTGACATCAATTAAAGTAGGTCATGAAGTGGTATAGGCATGTGAAGAATCAGAGTATTCTATGCAATGAGTTGTGCGAACGAGAATTATTACTAAACTTTTTTTCCAATCATTTATATACTAACTTCCGCACTCTTCTATCTTTGATGCAGCAGGCAGAACCGTTGTAGTCCCAGCTGGGCACTGCTTGCATTTAGTGCTCCAAGTTCCAGTGCTGTAATACCCGAGACCACATGGCCGACAAGGACCTAATCCAGTTAAGGAGAAATAGGCTTGCATATTTCTGTAAGAAAAAAATATGCATCGTGAAAAAAAGACGGCTTGACATTGCTACCCAAACAACACACCGTAGAGAAAAAATACTATTATGGACAAAATTATAAAATACTTCTTTTATTAGTTTTTATTAATTACTTCAGGTTTTAAAAAATTTCACCTAATAGTCAAAACAATCATTATCAGGTCCAGCGTGCTTCTGACACTCCTATATGAACGTGCCCGATATGCATGACCAGAAGCGTAGCCAAGATTTTCGGAGAGGGTCTACAGTGCTGTCCAAAAATAAAGTAACACTGCGGTTGCCGTTCGGTAGTTGTTCGGTTGCCCGTTCGATTCCGGTCGACCGATAGAACCGCAGACGACCGCAGGAGAAAAAATACGATCGCGGTTGCCTTTCGCTTCCGAACGGAGTATTATGAACTGCTGAGAACGACAACGCAATAATCAAATCGAAAAAATCTTAAGAAATTTCTGTCAGAGTCGGTGAGACCTCACCTCCGTCTCACCGCGGTTCGACCTCGGTCTGACCGCGGTTATAACCGTGGTTTTTATTAGGTTATTTCTGGACAGTACTGTAGGGGGGAATAGGCCGCCATTGTTATTCGAGACAAAGTTCGTAAAAAATTATTATAGTCAATGGGCTAGCTCGTGTAACAGGGTTTAATTCATATTTTCACAGGAGCCCAAAATTTTACTAGGGAGCGGGGTTTTCTGGCCTTCGCCCTAGCTACCCATGCGTGTATGACAGTGCAGCACAAGGGATAGTTTACCTTTGCATGATGTGAAATTCTTTTCATCATTTCCCAACGTGTAAAAACCAGGTTGGCATTTTTTGCAACCAAATTGGCCTTCAGCATCTTGGTATGTGCCGTTACTGCACAGCTTACATTTTCTATCCCCGGCGTCATAGTATTTTCCAACTGGACATTGAACTAAATGAAATTAGTAAAAAACTTAGTCAAGTTCTACTGTAAATACCCTAGTAGCGACATATCAGAGGATAAGAATTAGGTCAGCGGTATTACTCAACAATAGAGAAAACGTTACATTGGCAAATAGAATAAATAGAAGAACAATATTTTCCGAGTTTCAGTTAGTTCAGCTGTTTGGTGAAAAAAAAACAAGTCATGTATGCATGCTTATCTTTTGAAGGTGACTTCCAAATAAAGTCAAAATTTTACAGTTTTAATCGTTGCTTATTTGTATGTTTGGTGAAAAAACAACAAGTGATGCATGCATGCTTATCTTCTTGAAGGTGACTTCGAAATAAAGTCAAAATTTTAGAGTTTTAATCGTGGCTTATTTGTATGTTTGGTGAAAAAAATACAAGTCATGCATGCATGCTTATCTTCTTGAAGGTGACTTCGAAATAAAGTCAAAATTTTACAGTTTTAATCCTTGCTTATTTGTATGTTTGGTGGAAAAAAAACAAGTCATGCATGCATGCTTATCTTCTTGAAGGTGACTTCGAAATAAAGTCAAAATTTTACAGTTTTAATCCTTGCTTATTTGTATGTTTGGTGGAAAAAAAACAAGTCATGCATGCATGCTTATCTTCTTGAAGGTGACTTCGAAATAAAGTCAAAATTTTACAGTTTTAATCGTGGCTTATTTGTATGAATCATGTATTGCCTGATGTCTTGTTTATTCGAAAGACTTATAATCCTTAAATAATAATCCTTAAGACTCACTGCATTTCTCAATTTTTCCGTTTTCTTTATTGCATAGGCAGCTGGTGTCAGCAGGGTAACTGTTAAAGTTGTTTTTGCAGTTGTGGTTTAAATAGTCGCATCTTCCAACAACCGCACCATTTACGCCAGAACAATACGGCTCCGGTGGAAGGACGTTTGGTGTTTTGACTAAATCCATTTTCATTTCATTCTTCCAGTTTACATTATTAACATTTTGTTTAACCTCACCAAGGTACTGGTTTTTCATTTCAGTCTTAAGCTTTTGGAAATCGGCTTGACTTCCGACTGTTTTACTGGCGTGACGGTGAAATCTGCTTGAATATGAAACTATAGAATAAAAAGTAAATCAGCATTGAGAAAAAGAAATAATTATATTGAATGTAGTTAAACATACTTCTTAATTTCGCTGCGAAATCATTTTTTATATTATTGTTCCCAAGGCGGTACGAGGCGTCCTAATTCCGCTGGGAGATTCATTACACTAGCGTATTTTGAAAAAACACAGCGGAATCCAAAGTTGTCCAAATTCTGTCATTTCAAATGTCATGGACGGTCGACGTTGGATGGTTTTGTTAGTTATGCGCATGTGCGAAATTTGGCGAGTAAAGACTGGTAATCCGCAATGTCCTGATTGGCTAGGCGGAGTTTGTATTTAATTGAGAACGTCAGCACGTTTAGTCCCTGAAGATTTTGTATTGTTTTGACGTTTTGAATGTTGAATTTCCTACCATTAATAGGCTGTAAGAGTGCATAAATTGTACCTGGGGCATAGACTAATAAATTTCCTGCTTGAAGCATTTGAAAAACAGGTGATGTTTATGACTATATTTGACTAAACCAGCATTTGATTCATTTGAGTCATAAAGTCAGCTTAGACTTGGCAGCTAGGGAAATCGGTTGTTTGGATTGGGTTGGCGAGGGGTGCATGCATGCGTGTATTTGTTGTAAATGATTAAACTAATGTCGATGGCGAGCATTATATTCATGCGATGGTGAGTATTATTATTCGGGGTGGATTTAATAATATTACGGGTGATGTTTGAAAATTGTGCCAAGAATTGGATGAGCAGCCGGGGTGATTTTCAAACATTACGAGACCCCAAATCTACCAAACAAAACTAAATTAATATAAATTATTTTCTTCCTTGGAATTGATTGTTTTTACAGTCAATGAATCGTTTTCACTGTCAATTGACCTGCACTTGAGTTATTTGAGGGGAAAATAATAAAGAAAATGTACCTCCATTTCCAAGGTATTCCTTCTTCTTCTTCGTCTCCTTGAGGCATCAACCGAACCACAGAAGACCTGAATATTTCCACTTTACAATTCTTATTCGATTCGCAGAATGATCTCAGGAACTTCATAGGATCACTAACAACGGTGATAAATCTTTCTTTTAAATCAGCCTGGACTTCCAAATCATTGCAATCTCCTTTGAAATAATACGAACTCGACATTTTCAATGTTCCGCTGTTAGGATCTTCTCGGCCTGGTATGAAATTTTAAAATGTCGGTCAATAATCATGCAGTTATTAATGGGATGCTGGTCCAGATACGGACCACACTCGACTTCACTACAATAAATTGTATCAGTTTAATAAATCAGCTTAAATACTCTTATTTACGGACCAAATCTCGTTATATTTAAATTCTGTTTAGAGAGGCTGCGAGATGCCTGGAAGCCCATAATTGTTATTCTCAACCTATAATCCTATATTTAGTGTTAAGTTAAGTACTTTCAAAAGTTCAAGATATTTTTGTTTGAAATAGCTACTGCCTTATTTGGCTATCATTTCAACAGCGAAAAAGAAACGAAAATCTTGGACATGACTGACGTCCACATAATTTATGTCGATCGGTCCACGCCTTTTAAAAGCAACTCTAAAAGATTAATTTTCCATCATTATTGCGACATTAATAGGAATGCATGTACTTACGCGCACAATCCGGCCAAACAGTTGGTTGAAAAGGTGGGAATGGTGGCCAATAATGCCAAACACGGTTCACACAATAATAGAGGTCTTGTGGCTTATACCCAAAGTCATAACCTTCCTTACAAAGGGGTTGACATTGATAGGAAGGGATAGTCAGGCATACCAAAGCACCATTTTTAGGTCGCTTTTGTAATTCACATGTTGGAACTAAGGAGAAAGGTCAAATAATCGCATCACCATAATTATAATTGTTAGTATGTTTTGCCTGGTCTTAATGAGAGGCTCGATGGCACACGCAAAAAGCCGACAAATTGGTTGAAATAATCTGGATAATAATCTCAATAATTTTTTCTGGTCTTTTTTACATGCAGAATGACGAAATGAATATACTGTTAAAAGTCCATTTTACACTTGCAAATTTCTGCGACATAAACGAGTATAGTTATGAATCAACTCGTTCACATCTCTTAAAAGAAGAATATCGAGTTTAAAACACACATCAAAATACGCCGGACGGTGACTTCATAATGTTCGTAATTATAATAGTAATTAAGTTATAATTTTGAGACACTCCGTTTTGCACACTCTTGTGTCTGTGGTGTAGAGTTTGCTGTTAAAATAGTATAACTAAAGGTTTCGTTTCACTCGATATAAACCTTTCTCATAAGACGTTTATCTAATAAGTTTGGCCATAAATAGGTGCAATGTTATGGAATTTGATAAGTTAAAGTTACTTACTTTTTAAGTGAATTTCAAACGTACAAGAGACGTTTCTGTTATTACTTGGATCTGTGGCTGTATAGGTAATCTACATTCATATATAATAACACCAAAGATCAGAACTACAGCAAATCGCCATTTTACTGATCTTTATTATGCATGCATGCCACAGATTTTTTCTTATAATTTCGCCTGGCAATGTCCAGCAATTGCAGCTAATTCCAAACAATGTTTCTAATCTTTCCCTTGTCATGCAGTTGCAAGTTTATAAGCAAAAACTGACAAGACTATACTCAGTCTTTTATAAATTATTTCAATATAAATAATTTACTTTCAAACTTCAACTGATCCTCGAAGCATTTTGTCAAGTGAAAATCACAGAGTATACAAAATATTTCGGAATTTTGTACAATCCTAATTTTTGCATCACAACTTTTCACTTTCAAAACCACACTTTTTCGTAGGAGACAATATAAATTATATTTTAAATAATTTCATGCCACATTGTACCTGATGTTGTCCTTCTTTAAAGAGCGCACCGTTTGGGGTACTAGGTATGACCGTAGGATTCATCCCTGAGTTATCTTGAAACACCGGATCTTCCCAAGAAACTCGCATTTTGTCCGCGTATGGAGGTGTTGCTATAAATTCTTTTTCTATTTTCTGAGAACAATTGGAATAATAAGGCGCTTCTTTGTCTAGGTAAAATATGTAAGATAATAAGGTAAGAATTGAGCTAACATCACTAATTTTAGTCTCATTCAGGCATTATTTCAAATTTTAAATCATTTCGATTTCACATCATGAATTAAGCTTGGTTCAAACTTGTCGTAAGAATCTTGGATTCCCTTTGTCTGAGGTCACTGATGCGCAAAATGCATGCTTTGTCTATCGGAAAGAATCACAATGGATCCCCGATTCTTAGAAGCCATGCAGCGTGAACCAGGCCTTAAGCCTGGTAATGGTCCGGCTTATAATAAAGACCTACAAAAATTCGATCTGAGTGTTTGCACACCGATAGCTGGAGTTTTTATGTGAATTTAATTCCACAAATGTAAAGAAAACCGGATGATCTTAGGTTTTTTCTTCTTTTTAAAAAAATAATACACTTCGAATCACACATTGTCAATATTGTTTATATTCAGTTAACAATGCACTGGCCAGCGGCGTAGCCAGAACGATAATTGGGGGGGGGGCATATTCATATATTCGTGATACGCAGGATTAATTTCTTTTCAAATCAATTGTCTTTACAGTCTGTGTCTGTTTACGCGAATATATGAATATGGACCCCCCACCCCCCAATTATCGATGCTGGCTACGCCACTGGCACTGGCCTAGCTATAATCTTCATTTCCTAGTACAAAGATGCATATTAATTTATATATGGCGAGGGTATAAAAAAAATCTTGGTTTTCATGTCATTCAATGAGGAGATAGTGTAATTGGCGCGCTTCGGGAGTCGCGACGAAATTAATTAGATTAATGGGATGTTGGTTTTTAATGAAAGGTAGCAAACACCTCTTACTCTAAAATAAAACTAACACACGTCAGAGGTGCATGAGAAGTCATTCTCAATTTACATAATTATCGGATGCAAACCAGCCGCAAAGGCCTCATTGAGATATTGTTTAAGCCCGAAATATAGCAGAACTTTTTTCATTCGGAAATAAAACATTAAGTTATCTTTCCGTAATTATTACACTCTGAGATTATGTGCATACGCGGTAACGTTTTTGATGTTTTCATTTTCGTTTTCAGGCCAAAATGGTTTCAAACACAGTCAATTTACAATAAAAGTTCAAGCTAATTATTGAGCATAATTCTCCTTGGATCGTGTTGACAAGACGTCATGGGCACATAGCCAAAGAGGATAATTTTTTTGTTATTTATTGATTTCTAAATCCAGGAAGCTTACCTTGGACCTCTATCGAGAATTCACAATGTGCTTTGAGCCCTGCTTTGTCTGTCACGATGTAATGGATATTATGTTTTCCAATAGTAAACTTTGTTGGACTTGAATAATCGCTCACTTCCTCTAATGTTACTTTGTGATTAACGTCGTTGAGAATTGAGTTGTCTTCGTATTCAGGTACTTGCCACTCAACCTCAGCCGTGTTTGTACGGAATGTAGTATTGTAAAAGAAGACTCTGTTACTTGGACATGTCGTAAACGAAGGCGGTTTTACATCTGAAATATGGACGCGTCAAAATATTCTTAATGATTTGTTTTAAAGCATAGAAATATATTTTCCTATAATAATTTTGAACAAAGAAAAATTCCATCTTTGGTACCTATTTCAAAACGTAAAAATGACGATAATTAGCTATACCTTGTTGAAAAAGCAACCACTTTATTTTGTATAGGTGTGTAGACAGTGTTTATAGAGGCCGAATTACATTTGCAATTCTGGTGCGATTTATTACGATTCTCAGGTTTGATGATCGTGATGACAATACTAGTAGACTACGTACTAGTAATTTCCTCAATCACATCCATCAAAAGAAGAAAACTTAACTGGAAAAATTCATGCGTATATTGCATGCATCAAATTGAAGCCTGTGTATTTTCTTAAGGGGCGTAACTAGAACGATAATTGGGGGGGGGGGGGTTATATTGATAATTATACAGTTCGGCTCAACGTATTTCTATATTGTAAGCTATTGCAATTAAAAAAGAAATCCGCTGGGCAGAGCTGAACCTATTTTTAATTCAACGTAACGTAAAAACGAAATAAAGAATAACAATCAAATTATCCATACTTAGTTGAGTAATGTCTCACTTAAAGTTTGATATATTACATATAAAGTTTAAACGAACAGTTTCCGAGATATTCGCGTTTAAAGACACAGTAACGTTTTGAAATTTGTAAAAAATCAGTAAAAAATGGCCTGTTAATTTTGTTTTAACAATACCGGTTTGTAACATAGTTTCTTGTAACTCATTTTTTAGTTTTTTGAGAAAATTTGTCTTTTACTTGTTCTATTTAAAGCAGCAGATTTAGGAAGTCCCTCATGACTAAGAACCTCAAAACTTGATGGAACTTCGCGAGGCGATTGTTAGGTCATGTCGCAATTTGGACGGCCACATGATTCAAAGGTGTTTTGATGGCATGCTGACACGCGCAAGAAAGTGTGTTTTTGCCGGTGGACATGAATTTGCAGATGAATAAGAATATCAAACGTAGTATATCGAAGTTTACGTTAGACATTACTCAACTAAATATGGATTATTTGATTATAATTCTTTAGTTCGTTTGTAAGTTGTGTTGAATTAAAGATTGGTACTTTTTTGAGACATCCGGTATGTACAACACCCCCCTCACTATCGTTCTAGTCACGCCACTGATATTCTTAACCAATCAAAACACTTGTGGTTAGCATAAATAATTATAATAACTATGATAATTATAATAAACAAACGAAATAATTATAATAATTATTGTATGTCTTGTACCTATACAAACTTGAGTAGCACCGTCCCATGTGCCATCAACTTGACAATACCGAGTTGAAGACTGAGATCTTGTTGCGTTGAATTCGTATCCATCAGGACATTTAAATATGCAGGCTGAGTCAAATTTCAGTGATTTTTTAATGCAGTTCACGTCGTTCACAGTTGCTAAGTCCAAAGAATTCAATGGCGGACATGTCACAACTGAAAAAAACAAATATTTTTCACTTAAATCTAAACCCAAACAGAAAAATTCATGTTCTATTTATATTTAGGACTTTTTACGTAAAGGGAGTATTGACATGATTTTTCAAAGTCATGTCCTGTTAGGGACGGGAAATAACTAATTAATGTATTCACGGAAAAAGGTTAGGGTTGCACGTGGTTGACAAACGGAAAAACTTTGCAGTTTGCACAATAAGCAATAATACACTACGGATATTATGATCAGTATCTAGAAAAGGCAGTTGATGTCTTGATCGAGGACACAACACTACACGAAATATAATTTAATTGGAAGGAACACAACCTGTTGTTGGTTGTATTTGTTGCGACTATTGAGCTGTTCCCCATGCATACGGCCCCAACAATCCTGGTGTATTTGTGGTGTATTTAGAAGACAACAACCATAATACCAGCAGACTATTTCATTAAATACGAGAAAACATACTTCGAAAAATGATATCTTGTAAATGACATCTTTACAAGATGTCATTTTTTAAGGTGCGTTTTTTTGGTATTAGAAGACAACATACATTTAAAACGGGGTCGTGTACGCTACTACAGTCAAATACATTCACTCTGTACCTTCACAATTCGTGTCCTCCCCAGTCCACGTTTTATCAACGCGACAAACCTTCACACCAGATCCGACAAGACGGTATCCCCCGAGCATTTGTATGTGCATTTTGTCCCAAACACGAAGGTCAGTGTTAGTGCAATCACCATACTCCGAAGCTGCGTTTTCAATTCTGAATTGCGGAACACAGGATTCCTAAATAAATTGTATTTGGAAGCAATTGCCTGTTGCACACCAAGTTTATTTAAACTTTGTGCTTGCTAAAACTTCAACCAATTTGCGTATAGTCCTATAGAAACACAGGAAATGATACAGTAAAGGCCCTGCTACACGGTGTAATTTTCTTGCAACTTGCAATCCCAATCCAATCTTTTGAGAGATGCAAATTTTTATTCAGGCTGCACGATTTGAATTGTCTATTTTTCATAACCAGATTTAAATTATAGGGGCCTAAATTACAAATTACGGAAAAATATACGAGCAAACGCAATGCCTAATTATTTGAATATTTAGTCCTCTAAAGGGTTCTTTTTTCACTCATCGCAAGCTCAGTGCAAGTACTTGCATCCATACTTTAATTAAAATAAACCATTTTTATTGGGTGAAAACCATCGCAGCCAGTTGCGCTCGTCTGGTAACTGTGCTAAATGAAAGAGTCATTATTTCTTACTTTGACAACTTGGTGATGCTTCACTAGGCAACCAGAATGCTCTACCAACGTTGTTGTCTCGAACCGAACACGTGCGTGTCTTAATTAAAACAACGAAAAGAAAGAAATTTTAGTTGCTTAAGAGGATTCTCATGCAGGATAGTTGAACACACCCAACGGACACAAGAAAGAAGTTTAGCTACATCAAGTACAGTAAATCACACTGCAGTTGGTGCAGGTTATTTTCTTCTCACGCCCCTGAAAGTGAAAGAAAAACTCAGGGGTGTATTAGGGGATTTGGGACTGAATACAACAGCAGCGGCTGCATCCTCGTCCCCAGGGCCTAGCTCCTATGTGGAGAGCGACGGAGCTAAACCCTGGGGACGAGGATGCAGCGGCTGCTCCAACGTGATCATATTTATGATGGCATTGGTCCTTATAATGACAATTTATATTGGTCCTATATAACGTGATACAATGTCATGTCAGTTGCTGAAACTGTATCTTGATTCCCATCAGTTTCAAAATATATGACCACGCGGTATAACAACAAGAGGAGATTAGCTTGTGGGTACGCCACGTAAGTATTTGATACTGCAAAGCTTTCGTTAACCCGGGGCTTCATCAGTGCAATTGCACTATCAATTGTTACTTTATCATAAAAATAATTATTAATAACTAAGCATTAACTGTGGTATAAAAACTGCCTAAAATAGACAAAACACTTCTCGACGTTTCGACCTGAGGGCTTTCGTCGGGAGAGTTAACACTCCTAACGAAGGCCCTCATTGTTACTTTCTCAATTGTTACTTTATCATTGCACTGATGAAGGCCCGGGTTAACGCACCGAAAGCTTTGAAAAGTACTTACGTGGTGTTACTTATTGATGTCATGCAAACTTACAAGAATATTGTAAGAGGAAACTCGTAAAGATGTAAACTAACTCATACTTTTGCTCGAATACCACAATAATTATTAAGTAATAAAAATATTTTAACCGTCTGACCTGATATTTGCTGGCGAAGAGAACAAATCTTACCACTTCTCCCATTAGTTCGAAGCCATGATTACAATTGAAAGAGCACGTACTACCATAATCTCTTCCGCAAGCTGTCGGGTTGGTGTACCCATTTTCCGGTACCGGCAAAACCAAACATTTTTTGACTAAATAAAAAATGTATTTTTTTCAATATAGAATGTCGAGTCTAAACCTACTTTTATTCTCCCAGAGAAAATTTTTCTATATTTAAGGTTGTCTACAATATGATTACTTGCATGGGGGGCACTTACTGAAGAATTATCTATAGCAGCGAGTTTTGTTGAGAAGTTAATCTCTTCTAAACATATATGTTTATAAAATTACTATAGTAATTTTCAGAAATAACCTTCACTGGGGGTGAATAATTTCAGTTTGAAAGACTAACTGTTCAATTTATAACTGAAATTAAATGAAGTATCGCGTAAAGCTTCCTTACTTGTGCACGCCGCTCCACTTGCTGGGTTTCCTTCATATCCTTTATTACATACGCAATCATTGATCGAAATACTTCCATGTTTGTTGTGACCAGAGTTATCGGGACAGGATGTGCAGGATTTTTGAGCAAGACCTGGATATCTTTTGTACGTACCAGGTGTACATGCTGGTAAAGCAGAAAATGGCGATTTTTATCTCTCTCAATATCCTGATTTGTAATGCTGATGATTTGTAATAGACCTTTCCCTTTTTAGCTTTCAAGCGCGCAATGCGTGACGGTAGTTGATTATCAAGGTCAATTTAAGTTGTGTTTTCGACATGTTCAGGATCGATTTAGTTTAACAAAGAAGCGAAAAGAATCGGCAAGGTTTTCTTACAAAAAAAATCGCTTCTAAGCAGAGCGATATCGCAACTCAAAGTTTCTGGATAATCAACTACCATCACGCATTGCGCGCTTGAAAAGTCGTGCAAGGTCGTAGTTGTAGTTGCTTTATTTTTAAGTGTGTAACACTTTTAATATACAATTCATTGATTGCTGCATTGAAGATCCATGCAAGCTTCGCTGCAGGCTGTCATTTTTTAATAAACCATGATTTTCATGGGTTACTGCGAATAAAATTATTATGATTTTAATGATGTCTCCGGACAACAAGAAACCACGTGATTGATTTTGACCAATCGCGTGAGTGGATTTCGGCCAATTCACAAAGATTGTATAAATTATGAAATAAGAGTAATGACAATAATAACGATAATTCTGAAATCCATGCATGCCCATGCAATACAGGTCTGTGTTTAAAACGACCGGTCGAGGTTTTGATCTCATAAAAATCGAGACATGTCTAAATTTATTCACACAGTCAGGTGTTTCAACAAGGGAAATTAAACCCTGAGAAATTAATGAAAAATTTACATAACAAATGATTTCGGCCAGAAATTGTTTTACAGAAATGCAGCTTTCTTACCGCATTCCATAATTCATTAACTTTGAACATTAACCCAATGCTTGCATTAAAAAATAACCAAACGGACCTTTATATATCGTAAATCCTCCTAGGTTAGAAGGATGGTCTAACTTACAAATGTATCCAGAGAAGACGCTACCGCTACGCCACCTCTTCAGTAGCAGACTGGGCGGCATAAACCACATGCAAGGACCTACCGGGCGCGAACCTAGAGGCCTAACAGTTTTGGGCTCTAAAATTTCGCTTTGGACAATGAGGGTAAATAATTCAAGTTAAAACAAGACTTTTTGGATGCCAGCAAATTACATCCTTTTATATATCTGTAACTATTTTATGCTGGTAACTTTCACACTGTTAAATTTTTCGTCCAGGTAACTAGGCAATTCCTTGGCATGTCCAAATGAAAATTTTCATGCACTTGTATCCGCGATCACAAAAACGTCCGCAGTCAGAAACAGTAAACCGGGTTTCGATGTGCATTAGTATGTATGCCTATAAAAAAAAAAATGAAAAAGAAACACTCACCAGTACACTTTCCTTGCTCCCCGGTACCGAAATAACCCGCGTGGCAGATGCAAACATATCTTCCGCTAAGCAGACCACAGCCGCATTCTGCATTTGTATCACACGTGACGGAACACTTGCTCTTGGGTACTTTTTCAGCATCATAATCTTTTTGGTACGGATCTAGATTAAGCATTGAAATAAATTTGTTTGACTATTTTGTTGTACTAGAAGTGCGAAATTCCTGTCAAATTTTGGGTCCTGATTGCGGCACTAATAAATTCGCGCCAAATATCTGTCAACGAGTCACTACAATTCGTCCAGCGGAGTGTGACAAAATGTTGACGAGTTAGAATGAAATCGCAAACAACGGACCGTGTAAGCTTGTAAAATCATTCGAACTACTATCTAAGAATCATCATAATAATCCTCTAAAAAGTGTTTTTAATGCAAAGTAGAAAGGTTGCAGGGGGGGAGAGAGTTGGGGTGCTACATAATTTATTATTAATTATATTTTATCTATATAATCTCCATTTTAATCGATTGGCCCGACACCTTTAAACAATTCCTAGTATTCTGTAATTGTGATGTCATATCTGCAAATCATATAGTTTCTAAGTTTCTACAATTGTCGATAACATCAAAGTCGGTTTTTACAAAAATCAAATAAGAGGGAGGTTTGCTACGGTCTCTGAAAACGATATTCAGAGAAGCCACAGCGCACAGAGAAGATTAATTCAGCAGGTAACACCAACCTCTGTCATGATAATTCACAATAACACGCTCAACCTCATGCAATAATGATTTATTATACAACTTACCTCCACGGATATGGGTAGCTAATTCCCTGAATGAAGTAAAATCACTGGCGTAAAAATAGTGTTTTTGTGTCGTGGCGGCATTTTTCATAAATGCTTGATTAACGCCGCTTACTCCGACTGCAAAAAGTTCAACGTGGTTGTTCTTTAAGTTAATAATCTTGCTGGTAGGATCCCCGCCATTGTTGTATTCTCCATCCGTGAGTAAAAACATCACTTTATTCACATACGTTCCTTGAGGGTTTATCACCTTCCAAGGACGCACGTTCGTGCTTTGCGCCCCAAAAAGAATTTCTTCTACTTTAGAGAAAGCTCCATTCATGTTCGTCATGACACCAGTGTAGTGGATGTTTGCAAACGCTTTATCGAACTCGCATTTGTTGTTGAGACCGTTTAAATCTGATATATAGTTGATGTCTATGGTCGCGTGTGTTCCAAAACGAATGACGGCAACACGAGTCGCCGGTTTTGCAATTTTGACCTTAGACAGAAGTGAGGTAATAAATGTTTTCTCGTCAGCGAAGCCCCTTTGGCCATTCCACCTCAAACTGCCTGAATTGTCCATGAGGAAAAATATATCTGCCTTGCTGTTGGCATATTTTGATTGAAAATCTGTCAAGCGCTGTTTGCCGGTGTACCAAGAGGTTGCATGCTTGAAAACGATGCAAAACAGAAGAAATCTTAACGAATGCATATTTCGCTCTGCATGTGCTGCTTTCCCGAGACGAACGCAAGTCAAGTTGCGATTACTGTTTAACTTTAAAAACATAAATGGTACATTTTAATTATAGGAAAAAACAGCTGATTTCATACTTAAAACATCCCATTACGAGGTAATAAATGGTGAAATACCGTTTACAGCATAAAAGATATAAAATTTTGATATAATGCAAACAGCAAGTCATGAATATAAATTGATAGAGAGCTAGGCGAATTAATATGTTTGTTCACATTTATTTGTGCATGCATGAATATAATAATTCAAAACGTTTTCATTAGCTGACCTTAAGTTAAGATTAATGAGTGAGTGAAAAATGTTATCTGACACCTTAAAAAGCGGCCAAAATGTTCGTTTTCTGAACAACTTTGAAACAGATTAGGACATGATTTGACAGATTAGGACATGGTATACCTTGATAATTTATGTATCTAAGATGATGTTTTGATCTATGTCTAGTGTGCTGCCAGAAGACCATATAGGTCATAGACCAGAAGGCCAGAATATCATGCAGATGCAAAAACAATTGATATTCCGTTAAATTTATTCAGTCGTGACGTTTGCTCTTTTTGCCAAACCTAGCTAGTAGACTGTTGAAATGACGTAATATTTTTAAAATACTTGATATTAACTCCCGCTGTCGTACTTTGGGATCTTTAAGATCTGATATAGCACTTTACAAGACTCCATCCCAGTAGCGAGAACTCTTGACGCGCGAATATTGGTCCAAATCTGCGTCCTCGAAAACAACAAAATTTAATTGCTCTTGTGGGGGGTTCCCGACTGGTAACACAATCAGCGTTTTTAGGTGATTTTTTTCATAATTGTCGTCGCTTTTCCTAGACTTCTGCTGATAAATATGAAAAGTAATGCATGTTCTGATAACTCTTTCACAGGCACTGCTCTCTATATCCCGTTTTTACTTTGCGTTTCGCTTGTTTCAGAGACAGCACAGGATTCCCCCTTTGGCTCAAAGAGGTGTAAATACTCCAATAGCAATTCAGTCTGCGCCGTGCGAAATGATTGTGGAAAACGTGATAGCGTCGATAAGAGTTTGTTTTCGCCGACCTTGTTTTCAGTTTGATTGCTGTACGTCGTCTGGTTCTGAGAAAAACGCATGGAGAAGGTTCGGGCGTACTTGCACTGCTCGGCATTGCCAATGTGGTTACGTCGTCTTCCACAATGAGAATTCAATGCAACTCATAAAACGCTAAATGCGAGATAAGGGCTGTGAATTGTATGTACCGGCGAACAATGGCTTGTGTTGCTAGCAAAGGAAAAAAGGCGAAGGTCACGGTGCTTGAGTTAAAATATTGTTCCTTGTGGGTCAAAACAAATCTTACTCTCACCATGCATAAAAATGGTTAATATGTCCAGTGATCATGAATATGTCTAGTTGGGAGGAGGGGTGCTTATCCAAATAATTTATATTCAGTTCTGCCCGACGGGTTTCTTTTGTAAGTGCAATAAATAGTTCACAATAGATTGTCAGGCAGAACAGAGTATATAAATAAACACCCCCCCCCCCAATTATCGCTCTAGCTGCGCCCCTGTTTATGTCAAACATTAAAGAGTTATATATGCATTCGAACTCTGAGTGATGTAATTTAAATAGTTTTCGTTATTTGGAGACTGCTATTTGATGTAAACAGGGTGAATCAAAAAACCCCAGCTTTGAAATCAGATCTTTTTCAAAGCTGCATAATTTACCACATGCTCAGGATCTCGTATACTGCATGTTAGAATTTGTGTGGCTATTCGAATGGCAAGAAATAGAATGTATTTTCAAATGTCAGAAATATAATTAGATGGCACTCGCTTTAAAATATACTATTAGCATTAAGATTCTTCTGTTTTTATGCAAAAAGCTATATAAAAACACGCTTTTCGGCATATAAATTATAATGGCCCATCAACTCTCCCATCACATCAGTATTACATATTAACTTAATATTGAAACTAATACTATGATTGGTTGTTTTGCTTTAGCGGAGATCACAATTACAACACGCAACCGGCGGGCGTTTTTTTATTATTATTATTCATTAATACTATAGTATATATACACATACGTAAATATATACGTGTAGCCATAATATAAGCCACGTATCAACAAAACCGAGAAGCACATAGTGTATGTATAGTTTTACGGTCCTAACTCCTAGGTAGGGTCACGATGGTTTCGAAGTAATGTTTAAAACGTAGGCTATACTCCGTATAGTCTATAGAGTTTTCTTTTCATTTTATGGCTTGAAGGTGGTCAAACATATATGCCTCTTGTGTAAACATTCGCAGAATTAAAAACGTAAACTAAAATAAAACCTAAATTAGATCGTAAACTATAATATATAAATATAATTTCGTATAGTTAAAATTACTATATTTGAAATACAGTGTGTCCCAAAAAAGTGCCATTAACAAGAAATGGGCCGATTTATACTAGCCGTCTGGACGAACTTTGGCGAGCAAAAGATAGTGCGTCTTCTACTTCACCGGTGTATAATCATCCGTGAAGACGAATTATCCGCATAGTTCGTCTTGACGTATCATTCGTGTTTGAGTATAAATGCGGATGCAGACGAACTACAGGAGACCGTGCAGTTTTTGGTCCCGCAATTTTGGTTCGTTCTGCATAGTTCGTCTATATAGTTCGTAGTGTTAATACTTGACGGATGATCCGCATGCACGGATCAATCGTTCAGACGGATGATCCGTCTCTAGTATAAACCGGGCGAATGATTTCAATAGAGCTATAGGGAACTCACGGTAATATAATACCGTTGACGTTTTCGGTGTTTAAATATTAACAATAAAATTGATATGCTTTTTTTTTTAGTTTTGTCGGAGTCAGATCGCATTCGAGTAAAAAACTCTTAAACAAGAACAAGATAAATGCTTTTGAAATGAATTTGGCCATTATACAGTGCGACGCTGTCTAGATGCCGGAAATTCAGATATCGATGTCATCTATTTTTTCTCGATTATCATCCTTCATAAATGAGCTAAAATTAACACGAATTCTACTGAATTATTTATCAAGAACCGATAGATCCAATAAAGATCTTTCTTCCAGCCTATTGTAACACTGAAAAAATTAAAGAAAAAAAAAGAAATTTGTTAGCGAAATTTTGAAATCCAAATATTTACGCGATTACAACGCACGATATAATCACTATATAAGAATTGGTTTGTAGTTGCTCATTAAAATTCTGCAAAGTGAAATGAAATAATTTTTGCTTACAATAGCAGGTGAAATAGCTGCTATTAGTCGCAACCCGTGTGCAGAGCAGGTGTTTTCTTTGAGGGAGATATCGTTTCCGTTTAGAGGAAACTGCAAGTGTAGTTTTCTTGTTGAGCAAGCGTTTCCAAAGCATAACATAATGGATAACAATTCATCACCATTATAGCTACTTTTACGCGGAAGGGATTTCAACCGAAATGTTGACTTTTGCCGTATTGTTATTGGTGATTTCATTAATCTTAGACGTGCAACAACTTTGTGCGACGAAGGACGGCAAAGCATGTGCACGGAGGGAATTTAAGGGTATCAGTGAGGGTAAGTGTTTAAGACAGTCAGATCTCTATTTTTTCATGTTCGCTGTTTTCCGCACGACCACTATGGATGCATCTTAATTATTAAATACAATATTTTTTATTTTTTATTTTTGGCCGTCTATCACACTATCCAGTAAAGTTCAGTCAAGAAAACAAGCCCTAAAATACATAACATTTGACATTTCACACGGAGGCTAAAAGTTACAATAGTCAATAATGTCAGTTTATTTCAGACCATCAAAGAACTTTCCCTCAATAGGCCAAACGACAAACAGACACTATATTCAATTACATATGCACGTTAAATCGTTGCATATGTGAATGCCTGATCTATTCCTGCGGGCGCTATAAATTCATAATCCCTAAGAGTTGTCATCAAGATGCTTCATCGCATTACTAGGAAGATTTTTAGGCAGGGGTATATAATGCTCGTACTGAACTAAAAAATGATCTGTTTAAAGAGCGGCTAGATCATTATGTCAAATATGCATGACTGACCAGTACTGTACGTCTCAAATTATTAATCCAGTCTAATCCATACGCTCATATGTACTTATATGCTCATGTATTCACTATATGTATGTATTTCTTCCTCCAGTTCTGCACAAGAAGGGTTTACTCACTTCTGGTGACATCGAGTCTGCCTTTTTGACGTTAACTTGACAGGCCATACTGGCGTTCGGGCATTAAAATTTAAAATGGCGTGTCCTTGTAAACACTTTATCTTTTTGCAAAATGCGAATGTGTTCTTCTAAATGAAAAGTGTGTGCCTGAATTTACTGCATGTACATGATTGATTCATGCGATTTTCATGAGTTGAAATCTTATCGTTAGGTTTCGCCGACGCTTACGACTACTGTCGTATTAAGAACACGGTTAAGACTCTGAAATGCCTATTTTCACGGATGTAGAGGGCTTAATGACCAAACATTTTCTCGTAAGCATATGAGTCAGTCCCAAAACGTAAAAATTTTTTTGGACCTTTTCCTTGATGGAGAATCAGCCCTAAATTGCGCATAAATAGGTCCCGGGATAACAAATCTATGCCCCACTCCTACTCATTCATTTCCTAAGCGATTATTCCCTCTGAAGTGTGTCCTTGTGTGAAAAATCCTTAGTTTAATGCCTGCTGGTGTTACAAAATAGACCTCTAACAGTTCACTATTAGTAACAATTGTTTAAGAATTTTCTATTTGTTATTAAAAATTTATCATTAAAATGAAGCCAACATACTAATGACTACCGCCGGCACCGCACTGTTGTATTTTGTTCGAACCGCTATTTTTCTTTATAACTTATGTATACGCATATGTTTACCGGGTGGCGAAAAAAACGTTAACCTGTTTGATTGAGTAAAACGAAAATTATGTTTTTTATATTGTTTAATGTCTATATAGCTTAAATTTTGTTTAATATGCCTCGTTTAACGACACAACAGCGAGTTTGGGTTTGCAGAGAATTTATGCCAGAGTTAGTTAACAATGCTGAAGAAGTCATACGACGAAAAAGGCTGAAAACGACCATTATTATCTTTTCTTATCTAATATGATATTTTTGAATAACATTTGCACTTTTCAAAAATACTGTATCAAAATACACATGGTATGTACCAAGTCAGTTTAAGTTGGGCATTCACGAAAGAAAGTAATATCAGTGTAAAGAAAGAAAGTAATTTCAGTGTAACAAGTCTCTTAGTTTTGAATTTATACTCAATCAAACAGGTCAACTTTTTTTACGCCTCCCGGTATAAAGAGAACTTTCATTATTATTAATTTGTACAGCAGCTGCAGGAGCGTAGCGTGACTATTTTACCAGAAGGAGGGGGGGGGACACACCAAAGATTGTCCAACACGGACGAACACGTGACACTTGGAAAATGTTTCCCTTTCAGTCTTTGACGAGTGAAGCGTGTTCAGAGAAAGCAAAATACCGCTCACACCCCCCGTCCCTGCGCAGCATTTACTTGTGAAGATAATAATTCGATTCAATTCAATGGTTTCTTCTGCATCTTTATAACTCAACTAGTAAAGAACTCTAATACTTGTCCTATTTCAAAAATACCTATATAAAAGACTATATATATAGACTATATATAAAATTATATAGATCATAGCATGCAAATCTATATATTTAATCTGCATTTAAAAATTAAAGCTGTGATTGTACTCATCAGTTTGCCCCAGTGAAGTAAGGAGATTGTGTCTTCTATTTCTTAATCAGGAAATTTTAACATATCACATTGAAATTGTATTAACCCATTCTAATATTAGAATTTGTTTATGAGGCTTGTATCCAAAAAATAGGACAAATCACTAGAATTATATCCAGGCTCAATCCTACAGCTATACACAGAAGTGCTATATAGTGCGTATCGGTATAAAATATATTTCGTCCGGTAATGGTCCCTATAAATAATGTTTAACCTGAAATACAGTTGTGCACACATTTGCTAATTCGATTTGGGTTACTGTCTTGGTCATATTGCTTGTTAGTAATTCATCCATAGCGAGCCTTTAAATTAGTCTTCCATATATATATTATTCTACGATATGTTATATCCATAAGTGAACATTTGTATTTTATTACCCTAATATTATAAGTTGTTAGCATTTTATCTTATCACAGAGTTGGAACTGTTAAAATATCCAGATGTTATGGATTGCCAGATATATAATGTTGGAAGCTATACATGTGATCTTCATGTTTAATTGTTCACTTTAACATAAAGTGCAGGTTACCACTCAGAGTACCTATAATGATATTATTAAGTTTCATCTTTTATTTAAAAACAATTCGCTAAATCAGCAGAATCATTGGTCAAATCTTTAGTGTATTTTAATATAACGTCATGATACAGAGTGACTTCAAATAGCTAATCAAAGAAGCCATTTTTTCAAAATATCATAACAAGGTTGCTCAGTCTAATAATGGCAATAAAATTTATAAAATTGGACCCTAAAAACTGATTTTAATTCACTTAACTCCTATGGAAGCTAGATACCTCTTGAGTATTATAATAATTGTATTAGACTCTATAAAAATCAGTCAAATTTCAACAAACAAAATCAAACAGCATGGAACAAACCACATTTGACATTGATTAACATGAATGACTACAACTATAAAATATTTATATAAAACAGCTAGGGATTAATTTACTGAAGGAGCTAGAAGCCCTGGACAATAGAACTCTAACCTAACCTAAGCTAGAGTGGGTGTTGGAGGCTCGCCTTGTAATTCATTTTGGCACTCCTCAGCGGTAGCATCAAGAGGATGGTATGAATGTGGTAGTTACACCAGATCATCGAGGCTAGAGAGGCCCATACACTGTGTGAGTTAATTCCCAACTGATAGAAACTATATATATATATATATATATATATATATATATATATATATATATATATATATATATAGACTACAAGCTACAGTAACATTCAGCCTCACAGTACATTCATTATATTTGCTTAACTTCTGCATGTCACCCAGCTACAGTAGAAGTCCCCACATCATGGTTGCTGATTTTGAATATATCAATAGTTTAAGGTATTTTAAAAAACTTTGCAATCCACTTTGTTATTGAGAAATTTTGTCTAAAAAGTTACTGGACATCAATTCAGGAGTCACAAATAAGTTTTCTTTTGTTTAGGTTGCACAAAATTCCCGATTTGAAGTTATATCTGGTAACTTTAAAAGCTAATAAATCCATCAAGACACAATTTTTAAATAACAAAATGTATTGCAAAGTATTTCCCTGAGCATTCAGGAGTGGTGCAAATTTTGCTAATCAGCTTGAAATTGAGCAAATTGTGTTAGGAAATAGTACTGAATAATTATTTTGGTGTACTTGAGAGTCTCTGGCAGTCTTATCTGAGATTCTAACAATCTAAGAAGCACAATCTCAATTTCTGAATACAAACATACATTCCAATCTATTTTGCAGCTGGACGAGCTGGTGTTTCTACCCCATCCCATGGTTGGCACATGGCAGATCCATCCCTGGGAGACCTTATGATCTATAAAGTTGATTTAGTTTAATTAAGCTAAGAAAGTAATTCAGCATAATGATCTGAGAAAGTAATTCGGCATAATGATCCATTGTGTTGTTAATTCACGTCAATATATAATACGAAATCACACCAAATCAGCTGAATAATAACTAATCTTTCAACTAACCTTGGCCGCCTTCTTGAGTTTCTAAATTCAAAGAGCTTCTGAAGATAGCCAATGAATATAATGCGTGGAAAACTCCAACGAAACTGCCGCTAAAAACATAGGTAGCCCAACAATCAGGCGGTTACACTGGCGTTGTACAGTGTTGATAAAAATGTATATTTTCCCCCTCGTCAATAAACGTTTAGAAATTACCGCAATGCCTGCAACCTTCCCCGGCTTCCTGAGTTCCGGTGCGCGTTCCCGGTGCTTTCCGAATCATGGCCGAGCTTTCACAAATAATGGAGACCCTCAGCTAGGGCCACAGGCTCCGGTGTATTGGTGAGTCGTTCTCGGTTCTCAATTTCTCGTCTGCATACACAGTTACACACCACGTCGAAACTACGTAAACAAGAATATATACTGTTTCAAGAACCGCGGAAAGGGGGTAGAGTCCCTGCTCTTCCACCTTCTAAGGTTCGATTCCCACCGTGGTCACACCAATTTCCCTTAGCTTTGCCGGTCCCATGTAACTCAGACTAGCGTCGTCCCAACTGTTTCGTGACAATTTCGTGAAGTTAACTGAAACAATGTCAAAACGTCAGGTTTCAGATGTCGATTTAACGAGTGTTTAAAATTCATATAATTTAATCTAACAGGAAACCAAGCACTGCATCCATCGAATCTTATCTCAAATCATACCATCCATCTTTTGGGAGAGTGTCACATTCTCTGTATTAATCAAGACAATTGCTATGGTTACAACTACAGAGTGAGACCAAGCAACCTTTATACAGCAAACTGTCAGTTGAGCAACAGCACGTTGAAAATGAACGAAACAAAAATGAAGAATGGGCCATGGATTTTTTACGAAGACATTTTGGTAATAAATAAAGTTTTTAACCACTTGTTCGTTTGAGAAAAATATAGAAAATATACTATAGATTTATGTATTAATATCATCCGGTTACTGCCCACACAAACATAGACGACGTAAACCGAGGACGTGGGAACCTTGGGAGGGAAAGGGGGGGGGGGCACACAGGGCTCATACATTTGCAAAATTTCTCAAGAGATGAAAAGAAGTTTTTGTAGGTTAAAAGAAGTATGTTCCTGTTAATAATTTTAGCTTCAATATACTGCTTCTTATATACGTTTACGTACACCCAGGCCTCCCTGCTAGCCCGAGTGAGCTGAGAACATTGAAGAAGCCTCCCTCTGAGGTTTCTGCATATCATGCAGATATTGCTGCGTCTCGTAAAGTAGAAATTTTTTTTTACTTTACTTTACCATGTTACCATTTCTTATAGGTCACCGCCACCGGAGGTAAGCGATAACAATATGTGCACAGATTTTGTCTGCACAGGTAATCTTGTGATTATTCGAAGTAATGAAGAGTCGCCGTGATCACAGCACGGTACAATGAATGGGTCCTTTTATGGCCATGGACAAATATGGCCAAATATATCTCGAAAATTTCAAGCTAATTTGATTACACCGCTGTTTTATGAGAAATAAGGTTAACCACTGTTCTAGAACGTAGTTTTTTACCGTCATAGGTGGGTGCAGTATTTTTTTAAAAATTATTGATTTTTCAATCCTTCAGTAAACTCATTTTGACAAAAACAACTTGCCGCCATTTTGAAAAATCCGCACAGCCAATTATCGCTCAACATCTGAAGTCATTTGACCAATGGCAAGCCAATCATTGCATTTGTAATTATGCTGATAAAATACATGCTTGTATTAATTAATTTCAAGTTACTTATGAGAGACACGCAAATGGGCGCTATAATGGCACATCGAACTTTTCTTTTGTCAATTCAGGCCTCACTAGTTGTCTGGACATCAAAAAGAAAGGCTTAAGTCATGGAGACGGAGAATATTTTATTGATCCAGACGGAGATGGGGCTGGTAAACCATTTCAAGTATACTGTGATATGAGCTCGTTCGGTGGAGGATGGACAATGTGTTACACGACGGACAGTCATGTTAATATCAAAACTGAACTTCTCACCACACCTGCTCTTGGCTATCGTGCAGATTGTAATAACATATTGGTCAGTATTTTTAACATTCTTTACGCGAAATGAACAAGCGAGGGCAATAATTTGTTTAATCTGTTTAGTTCTTCTTAATCTCGTAGCTCCAATATCCGTTTCCTGAACTACAAACATAGGTTAATATTGATCAAGCCTGTTTACTTTTTTTATTAGAAATATACATGCACTGCATATCCATGCAGAATCCCTTCGCCTATATTTTGAACCACTTATATTTTTAACGTTTTTTAACTGGTAAATAATCGATTTTTCATGTGGCGAACGCAGTGTATTGCAATGTTAATGAGCTTAAAAACGCGATTTACCTAAGTCAGTTAAAAATGCACTTAATATTATGCAATTTTGAAACAATATTAGTTTCGGCATTATCCGAAATCAAAAATTGCGTACACAAAGTAGCAAAATTCATTTTTAGCTAATCGCAATTTGCTTCTTTCCAATTTCCCGATGCTTTAGTTTACAGGGGTGATGTTTGTGGATGAAGCGTCAAAACAAAAGGCAGCCTTCACGAATGGAGGCTCACCTGTGACATTTACCGGCAATTATGATAAGGATGCAAATGCTTATGGCTTGTGGACGGCGCAAGGTGTGGCCACAACACAGTACAAATACCAAATGTTGATATGTGACACAACGTTCTACAAGGGACTGCACTTCTCCGGGTTCACCTCAAACTGCTACAAAAAGTGTGATAGCTGGTGCGGTGATACGTCCTCAACGTATTTTCGGACGTCTACTGTCTCAGACCAGCATTATAACGGTGTTGCATTAATGAAAAAGGCCACTACCCAAAAACCAAAACGGCTCATCAGTGTAGGAATCCGTTGAATCGAGTGACATGTAAGAGTGCATGGTAATCGTAAACCATGCAATTGAAGTATTACCTTCAATACTTAGTGCATAATTTAAAGATAAATACTACTGGTTGTTATATGCAATGTATTTCTAGGTGTATAAGGTTTAGCCGCTGCCGAGGCGGCGTATATCATGTAAAGAGAGAGGAGAGGTTTGGATATGTGGGGGTTGAGGGGGCACATATATCGCGAAAATATCTGGGGTCCAAAGCCCTGGGACCGACTCACTAAAGAGATACGAACATTTTAAGGCATACCATAATTGGATTAAGTACTCTGTGGGGTTGCCTGTCGCTTGCGACCAAGTTTATAAATATAAAATAAAATATAAATATAAATATAAAATATATAATATAACCACATAAAAAGGGGTCGTGTAACAGCTATAACGCGCATTGACTATAGGGCAAGTATAGACGGGTTAAAACGAACAGGTTGTTCCGGTTGCATGTATATTGATTGAACAGTGTTGATAAACTTCAAGTACTGTATTAATCACACCATTATTATAAATTGTATAAATGTCTTATATAATGTTACCATATAAGTACTGATGAAATTTGTCATCCCCGCCAAACTCTGCTGGCTGTTTGCCATCTAGTATAAACTCTCTATTACCATGCAGTAAGGTATGACTGCATGATTGCATGTCACTTTTTCGTCACAGCTCCTATAGCTAGAAATATTATTATATATAGGCACTGTTACACCATAAGGTAAAACTGAACCTTTTAAATCTGTGAAATTATAAACTCAAATAAGTTATAATCATATTATTTGACTCGATCTTGTCTTCTTTCTATCCGAGCGGGAAAAAATTCTCTTGTGTGATACATTGAGTTAACCTGCTAGTGATATATGTAGTAATACCTAACCTCGGGTTTACCTCGTTTCAATTGTGTTAAACCTAGACCGCATATTTTAGCAAGTGACAACTTTATTGGTATTAAATGAAATCCGGCATTTCACTTGCCTATACGATAACTCAGCCCTCCCCAAAGACAAATTAAAATTTTCTTTCTTGATACATTTAGTAAAAACTTAAATTCAGCAAGATATTTTAAAACGCCGCGCGGAAAAGTGACAATATTTCATATTATCTTAGCATGCATAACCTTCTTAGCATCGAATGAGGTATAACAACTGCGAACTGCCTAAAATAGACAAAACTCTTCTCGACGTTTCAACCTGAGGGCCTTCTTCAGGAGAGTTAGTATGACTCTTCTGACGAAGGACCTCAGGTTAAAACGTCGAATTTTGTCTATTTTAGGCAGTTGTTATATCACATATGATGCTAAGTTTATTTGAAGACGCTGCCCGACGCTGCCCGACGCTGCCCGACGCTGCCCGACGCTGCCCGACGCTGCCCGACGCTGCCCGACGCTGCCCGACGCTGCCCGACGCTGCCCGACGCTGCCCGACGCTGCCCGACGCTGCCCGACGCTGCCCGACGCTGCCCGACGCTGCCCGACGCTGCCCGACGCTGCCCGACGCTGCCCGACGCTGCCCGACGCTGCCCGACGCTGCCCGACGCTGCCCGACGCTGCCCGACGCTTATATTGGAACGTATTTAACTTTCTACTCAGTTTTTGACGCATGCACGCTGTGATTAGAGTGCTGCCGAGATTTTATCTAAAGAACCGTCAAAGGATCATCATCTCGAACACTCTAATTTTGAGTTAATGAAACACGACATGAGATTTCATTTATATTTATTTCTACTATATTTTGAAGTTATTGTAAAATCAATTAACTATTTTTTTAGTTTTTTTAGGAAACTATATAAAAGGGCGTGCACGCAAATATAGCGTAAAATAATTAAGGCAAAATATAAAAGTTGCAAAATATAAAAGTTTGAATTTTGAAGTGAATGGCGTATTTTCGTATTGAATATAATTAGTTAAAGATTTGGAAAGAATCCACTCCCTTCACATTTTACAAATTAAATTCTGTTATTTTGCTGTTTGGGCCTCACATTGTGTTTAGAAGACCTGCTTTTGGCTTCGTGCTGTATGAGGTTTCGTATTTCAAGTCACACTGACGTCATTCTCTCAATTCATCTCACATGAGGAATCTAAGCACGATTTTTATAATTAATGGTTAATTGCATAGTTCGGAATAAAAGGCTTGTTTTTATCTTTTTAATTTAGTCGTAATTGTCGGAAACAGACATTTTCGCCACAATATTTCGGAAGAAAATTTGTCTTTATTCTCTGCATGTTGACCCCAAATAACATAGCAATAAATTATTCTAATGCATCAACCATGCACTTTGACATTTTCACGACAAGTCGACAATTACGTATAATTGAAAACCAACCTTAAGTCAATAGCGTTGGAATAAGTCGAGATCCCAATATTGTGATACTGGTTAAGTATTGCATGAAATTGTCTTTTCAGGAGACTTGTTTCCATGCAATTGTATGCAAAAATGTATACTTTATAACCATATGTCAGCGTGGAATAAAAAGGATATTGCGGCTGGTGGTTGCACATGGGTGATTCTTATTGAATTGTTATTTTAAGTAATACGTAGTTGACGATCCTAATATGACTGTTAGTCTGTTACGATGCAGATGTTTTAATCTTATGGACATTCTCTTCATGCAAGTCCGGAATTGTGTTGTTGACAGCAAAATATCATGTTCTGTATCATCGCATCTCTTTGATAATGACATATACTTTGAATTCAAATTGAAGTTTATTTATATGCTAATAAGCTTTTGATAACGGCGGTAAATAAATTGAACAATTGGTTTCCATTCAGTGTAAATGTTATGTTTGAAAGCATTCTCGTCAGAGGATAGCGATAATACATTGCTTGCGTAACTTACGTATCATGGCTCGTATTAAAGATAAATTCGATCGAATTTCTCGGCTACTTTTGATGTCATGTTTATTCATCAGTTGTGGTTTCATGCAAGTCGCTTTTGGTACAGTCGATAGACTCGATAGTGGTGCTGAAACAAAAGGTTGGTTCACGGGTACAAATATATATATGTTATAATAATATTATTTTACATACGAAAGAAAATTCGCTAAAGAAAATTTATATAAAAGGTTTAAACGTGGGCTGAATCTTGGTCGACAGAATACGAGCAGCATGCATGTTCGGCGGCATGAATATCTTCTTATATTACGTATATATCATTCATATGTTTTCCAATACGGCCTGTTATACAAAATTTACAGTAATTATAACCCTTGAACCCTAATATCATACGTGAAATTAGTCTGGTTTGACGAAGTTCTTTGTATGCTATATACGAAAACACTACCGTATATATATAAGTATTTCGACTCATTAATGAAAGCGCATATGACTACATAGTCGATTAATTTAAATCTCCTATATGCATGTCGGGCTTTATGGACAACCCCGAACTGAACATTATAAATAATATCCAATTTTACGTAATAATTACAGTATCACACTCAGTCTCACTGCCTAAGACATTGATATTGTTTGAAGGCTAGAGAAAGTGTGCGAATATATAGCGTGGTTGCGGTATAAATAACTTCGCATCAAATGTTGTCAAGGAACTATGTACATTTGAAAAATCTCTCACGGTCGTTTTCGCCTTAGGGCCTTCGTCATATGAGTTACTTTAGAGAATTTCCAGGCGAACAATCGCATTTGTGGCATTGCAGAGCATCGAGAAGCTTTTAACACCGCCGATTTCACGCATATATACCTTTGATGAAAAGTGCTTGTGTGGGTTTTATATATACCAAATATAAATCTCTCAGTAATATGCATCGGAGGCAATTTTTTATTGGTTTATTTATTATTTACGCTTTTCTTTGAGTTCAATATTCAATATAAATATATAATTATTTTCATTCCTTGCCGACAATCACAAGATTTTTAGCCAAACAAGACGCTCTACATGCATGGAGATTATTTTATGACTATTTATGACTGAAAAAGATGACTATTTATGATGAAAGATGATTTATGACTATTTATGATTAAGAAGAGATAAATGTTGAGAGACTTTTTAGCCTTTATTATTTCTTTGCCTTAGAACACATAATTATGTAATGTAATCGTTATAGATTTCTGCGAGTATAGTTAAATATACGATGGTAATTATAATGCACGCGAAGCTTTGAACTGGAAAACATAACTCGCATTAGTCGCATATGTCCCGTTTGAATTAGGTGATTTAGGTCCATTTGCCCTGGCATTTTTGCCGCAATTCAAGATGCGATTGTCTTATTTTCTTACACGTCAACACGGAGTCAAATTACATGCAAATATTCATCTGAAGTCATTAGAGTTTTGATATAACTATATTTGCTCAAAAATCGCACCAAAAATTGCATGTACATAAACGGCGTTGATAAACGTAGACAGTGACCGAGTGACGCCAACATCTAATTAAAACCGTAAACCTGCATGAGATTTTAATTATCTATCATTCAATTATTACCGCATTTTGCAATTTCCTATTTTAAATACTGAATTTCAAAACATGATTTTCATACCGCAACCTAGCTATATGTGAGCGTGTAAAACGAGTTTGTAAATAGACCATCGCCTTTTTAACAACGTTTTCATTCGGCAAATCACTGTCAATCTGGCCATTATTTTATCACAGCTTGAAAAGTAGTCGCAAAAATAGTTAATTTTCGTTCCAAATGTAGTAAAATGAAGAAAATACAGGCTATAGCCCCGTGATCGGCGATGTATTGTCTGTGACCAGTGACAAGGAATATGTATACAAAAAAGCAATTTATTCTCAAGTGATCACCGACAATGGCCATCGCCGACCGTCTGTGACGTATGAGAATCAGGCTTAGTTGTTAACCGTGTAATGTGACAATTTTGTACCCAGGGCCGGTACCCAGCGGATGTGAAAGACACTGGATATGAGGTTGGCGTTTGGGGGGCAAACTCGTTTGATATATAGGAGCTTTTTAGTCTATGCGAAATTTGGAAAATATACTTGGAAAATAAACATCAAACCATGACTTGACAATGACTTTGAAATAGAGTCGAAATATCACCTTGAATATTGTGTCTTGTTTTTAACAACTCATATCTTGGGTTTACAAGATGTTTATTTTCGGAGAATGTTTTCTTTTATAATATGTTCCAAGATCAGTATGCATGCATAGCTTCATATGCTGGTGATGCCAGTTAATGGGGATTTTAATAATTTATCGACATAAAGTCAGTTTGCTTATATTTCAAACCGGTTAAGCACTCTGACTTTTGTCATTTCAAATGTCACACATAATCACCTTCTCAAGCGCTGCTGATAACTTTTTCACGGTGAGGTAACTGAGGTTTTCGTCAATGTTTTGTAAACGTTCGATAAATTGTACATTTTAATTGAACAAAAGTCTGTAAAGGGAAAATCATTAAGTCGTACGCGTAAGAAATGTCAAATGTTTTTCACGATATGTATGGTCACTATTTTATTGTGTTTTCTTACCAATAATCATAACCAAAGCCTTGTGGTTTACTGATATATATGTATTATGGCGGACAATCCCAAAACACCTGTTTTTCTCCTTTATCATTTAACTGCTGCGCCGCAAACTCTATTTACTCAAACTATACGATTTTTATTGTTACACATACCTGTAAACAGAAATTAATCACGTCACTTAGGCAGTTCCCAGGCTATTGTGGCTCTCAGCGCCATTGCAGCGGGAATAGGACCGTGTTTCGTGCGGATAATTCAAATACATGCTATTGTGACGAGGACTGTTTTAGGATTTTCTCCGATTGCTGCCCGGATTACAAAAGACACTGTGGTTTGCAGGATCGCGTGGCGACCGAACAAACCAAGTCGATATGGCAATGCGTTGAATTCAAGTGGTCTCCCGTCCATCCTTGTAAAATAGAGGGCGTGACAGGAGTGTGGATGATTAAGAAATGTCCGGCAGATGTATCCTTCAACTCATTGAGACCAAAGTGTGAGAATGCTACATCGGATCTCTCGTATCCCGTCGAGGACTTTCTTCCGGTGGTAGGTACGAATTCCATAACATATAGGAACAAGTACTGTGCTTTGTGCAATGGTGTCAAGAATTTTATGATGTGGGATCTAGGGGTGTTTACCTACGTCATTCCGCCGGAGGAATTTGACTTTGATTTAACGATTAAATTTATCGTGAAAAACGGAGGAAGAATTGAACGCGTTTCACCCCGGCCGGAGCAACCGCGTAGATTTTGCTTGGGGAGGAATTATATAGACGACTGTGCTTCCTCTATCCGTGATCAAAGATTGTACAGGGGTTGTGTTGATGGTCCTGTTGAACTTGTTACCGATGCAGAATCGCCGTATACATACTTTAAAAACCACGCATGCGCCCTATGCAATGGGTATCGTAAGGCCACGGAATGGAAAACAGCTCAAGTTTGTAACCCTTTACTGCCTGAAGGCTTCTCCGTCGTGTATAGCTCTAAGGATGAAAAAGCAACAACGAATATAGTCAAAAAGTACTGTCCTTCCGGTACGGTTTACGATGAAAATTTACAGTTTTGTCGAAAGGGCTACATCATTTCATCCAGTGGTGAACTTAGCAACGAGTATTTGGTACTATTGTGGTTTAAATATCGTAGAAATCAAGCAACAAGTGCACATTCTAGACTTGAAACTGTTTTAAAATCTGCGTTGTCATCTCACTTTTCACTTCGGGCTGATCAAATTTCAACAATGACACTCAGTAAACAAACAGAGAGAAATGACTTACTCGTTGCTACATTTCGTATTACACTGACTCCATTTCAGACCCTTGTCATGGCTAACCAAAACAGAACTAAGTTTAATATTTCCCACGAGAATACTGAATTCTTAAAACTATTCAGCTTTTCGGATAGTTTTACAATGGAACAAGAAAATATCAGCTTCTCTGTGGTGAAAATGATTACAAAACAGCTTTCCTGCTATGGAGAAGAAAATTTTCAACCACATGAGTACAAAATTGACAAAAACAACGGAATTGTTTTTATTAATAAAACAGGAAGGGAATTCTCCCTCAGTGAATATACACTTATTGAAAAGAACGATGGAAATATTACATTGTGTAGTAAATTGATCCTTTCAAACTGCAGCGATGGAGCATATGTGCCACTCGACTCTTACGAGTATGTGATTTTTCCCAACTTGACAGTGTACCACAATAAAACCAGAAGTACATTCAATTTTGGGGAGTACCTTATTGACACAAACTCAGACAAAGAACATGGAAGGATCTCAGCTTTGTCTAAAAACTCTTCCATATCTGTTTGTTTGAAACTCAGGAATACTTTTAATGAAACTGAAACAAAACACAGCCGAACAACATCAAGTCTTGGTTTACGAATTTTAACATTGATTTGTTTCACAATTTCTATTATCTGCCTCAGTCTACTCTTCATAACTTATGTATTATTCCGGGAATTAAGAACAGTTCCGGGAATGAATTTGATGAACTTAAGTGGCTCAATGGTTGTGGGAGACCTGATATGGTTGATAGGGACGACTCATTTTGTCGGGACACTGGCGTGCGAAGCCTTGGCAATATTGGAACAGTATTTCCTCCAAGTATCGTTTGTAGCAATGTCGGTGATTTCCTTTCATTCCTGGCGGGTTTTTTCACAACCCATAAAAGGGAGGATCGCCAACAAATCGAAACGTAGATTTGTCATCTATTCAATAATTGTGTGGTTCGCGCCCGCCATATTTGTGGCGATATGCGTAATTTTGGATAAAACTGAAACGTTTCAAGTGGATTACGGAATCGATTGTTGGTTGGGGACTACAAAGGCTAAGCTGTTTTTATTTTTACTGCCGCTTGCTTTATCACTGCTCATTAATATTTGCACATTTATACAAACAGCAATTAGCTTATCGCGTCATCAGAAGAACAGACAAACTCTACACCGCAAGGAAAGTAAACAAGACCTCGTCATTAGCGCAAAGCTTGCAACGATGGTTGGATTTCCCTGGCTGTTTTCGTTCTTTGGTATAATGTTTCCTAACGAAGAAGCATTTGACTATTTGTTTGTGATCTTTGTGTGCCTTCAAGGACTGTACATAGGAATGGCATTTGCTTTTAACAAGAAAACTCTAAAACTGTATAAGGATTGCCTGAGCTCTCACTCCGTGGGAAAAAGATCTTCATATGCCACAACTACCTTTGAAATGGCAAGATCTACACATTAGTCGCAACGTAAATACCGTAATTATTGTGAACATTTCTGCAAAGTTCGCTAAGAAAAACACAAAATCGGTTTTTGTTGTATTGTGATGTACGATAATAAAATATTTACCATGATTAATGTGTGATTAATTACTGTACTGTGGAGTACAGGCTTCACTGCGCTGTATTTTTCACTGCTTTTACCTTACCCTACTGCTATGGCCTACTACTCTGCTGTATTTCCACTAAACATACGTTACTTACCTCATCCTTCTGCTCTGACCTCACCCTACTACAACGAGCTCCCCACTGCCCTGACCTCACCGCATTGCACTGATCTAACCTTACTCCTGTGATCTCACCCTGTTCCATGACATCACCCTACTGCACTGACCTCACCCTTTTGCAGTGCCCTCAACTACTGCTTTGACCTCACTGGCTGAACTCATCCTAATTATTTGAGACCCCTTGCACTGACCTCACCCGGCTGCCCTCACCTCACCTTACTGCACTGACCTAACCCTACTGCCGTGATCTCACCCGGCTGCCGTGCATGACCTCACCCTATTGCACTGACTTCACCCTACTGCTGTGCTCTAAACTACAGCTTTGACCTCACCCTACCTGCTGACCTCCCCTAATGCTCTGAGCACCCCCCCCACACTGCACTGGCCTCATCCTACCTGCCGACCTCACCCTAATGCTCTGAGCCCCCCCCCCCCACACTGCACTGGCCTCATCCTACCGCACTGACCTAATCCAACTGCAGTTACTGCAATAACCTCACCCTACTTTAGTGAGCTCGCCCTACTCCACTGATCTCACCCTAATCTACTAGCCTCGCCCAAATGCAGGGTACCGCACCCTCTACTGCAATGCCTTCAAATTACTTCAATAATCTCAAAGTAAAATGAAGCTCTCAGGGGGGCAATAGAATATATTCAGGCAATAACAGCGTCATGTGTGCGAGAATCGGCCATTTAGGTCATAATGTTCAGGTTCATCGCGGTAGGGTAAGCACGGCAGTTATTTTTGCATAGTGTACTTTCAAACCCGAGGATTTCATTACCTGCAGTATTTTCATCTTCATCAATCAATATTTTGCAATCGGATTTTATTTCATGGTCACTGCGCAAACAACAATGTTTTTAAAGAGCTTGCCAGGCGATGTGGACTCCAGACTTCGCAGGCATGATTATAGTTTTATATTATGCAAATCCAATATGTTTACAACATTATCGCTTCACTATATACTATATATTTACACTAAATAAAAAAGCTAAAAATGCATTGTTCCAACTCTATGTGGCTTATGTGTGATTATTGGCTCGTATTTTCCAAATACAGCAATACTAATTAGTGATAACATATTACAGTTCTATTATAAATCTCGCATCAAACGTCAGTGCAATATTTCAGCTAATATTAAATATTTTCACCATTATTATTCTTTGGATTTTCTGTCCAACCTCTCAAACTCCTTGCCATTTCAAGACTGATGCGTACAAACATGTACATTGTGGATTTTTAAATCTCAGCCTTTCTCTTTGATCAAACGGCTGCGATGCCAACTTTGAGTCTCAAGGGCCTTTTTACCGTCTTTTCGTACTGTTCTTCACCCATTTTGGCCTCGTGGGATTGGACATCCTGATCACGGGAGTATCGCTGAATATCGACTCTCTCATCCAATTTATGTAGAGTTTCGTGGGATCTCAACACGACGCCGACAGTTACCTCTGACCAAGATGGGATCTTGCATATATATTTCACGTTATGGTCTAATGACGATTACGAAGTTACCTTACAATGTAGGTAACAACATTAATAAAAGTACCATTCCAAATGGTAGACCAATTAGGTGATGTTTATGTAATCACGTGAAAAATGAACTAGATCCTAGTAGTATCCAATGTATCATCCGAGATATCAATTGACTCGGCTTTTAGTGTGGTAGGAACCTTGGAATACGTTGTCTTAGGGTAGGCTGTGTTATGGTCGACACCAGTACTCTCAGGTCCATTCATACCATTGTGGTCCATCTTGATCCCACCTTCCTCCTCTTCATCCCTAGCTCTCAACTCTTGTGCTCTTTTCTCTTTCTCCTCCTTCTCTTTACGACTGGCTTCTGCAGCTCGGTGTTCGTTCTCGCGATGGTAGAAGTAGTTGAAGTTGCTCACCTATACAAGAAATGATCGTAGTCTTACTTTTCTATATTATGAAAATACGGTAAAAAGGCGCTGAAACTTTTTCAAAACTTATAAGATAAAACTTTTTTTCCAAAAAAAAGAAACAGACTCAAGATAACTTGAATCTTTAAACATTCATCAAATCTTAAAAGCAAGGCTGCCGCACATAGCAACTTATCAAATTGCCGCCATATTGAAATAACTTAAAAACAGGTTGTCTATTTTGTCTTTTCAAAAACGAACGGGAGTAAAGATGCTAATTGAAGCAGTAATTCATGCTATACTTACAATAACCGGTACTGGAAGAGCAATGGTCAGAACACCAGATATTGCACAAAGTGAGCCCACGATCTTTCCCCAAAGCGTGACCGGTTTCATGTCGCCATAACCGACGGTCGTCATGGTCACCACCGCCCACCAAAATGCTTCGGGAATGCTCTGAAAGTAAAATGAAATAACATGAAAATTTAGGCTACATTCAGTATTTTGGCATTTTTGCCGGTAAACACTTGTTTATTGCCCTATAGCAACAGACTATCTTCAGTTATGACAAGTGATCGGCGAGGAACAATCCAGCTTAACAAGCGGCTCTTAGGTTTTTGTAGTAATTGTAGTGTAACGGAAGCTTTCTAGAATGGCTATAGAATGAATATGAGCAGTTTTTAGCGCTTGTAGCGTGAACACGGTTGCTTTGAATGTTCGACCTCGATTACGTCATTAAATATTATTTAAATAACAATCTAACCTCAGTAGCTGGTGATTAAATGCCGAAAATCAGTGGAGTAAAAATCTTAAAAGCCAGTTAAACACACGTGTTTGTGAAGTATATTAAACCATCAAAACATGTCGCGTCTTTCAACGGCAAAAAAACAGAAGCTCTTTCAAGGTTCTTTTAAGTGAATAACAAGCGTGTTACAAACATGTAAATGTGTCATAAAAAGATTAAATTCACCCAGTAGGCAAGTCAATTACATATGATTACAAGAGATTGAAAGATAATTAAGTACATTTGCATAAGGTATTTTCAGTTCTCGAAATCTTCTCGAAACTTCGCCTTTATCAGCGCACTTAAATGTTTGTTTCAAGAATGCATGCCGATGTTCTGTCAATCAAACTGACATCTCTTAGCTGATCAACGGCATGAAAAACAGTAGTTTAAACATTTGTAGCAAATTCTACGTTCATTGTGCAACTTTTAGCTAATCTCGATCATTTTAATCTTCCGAACAGGGAGCAGACATTTAAAATAATTGTTGTTTAATTATATGGTCGTTGTGAATATGCTGACGTTATGTTCGGCGATCGGAAGTACCCAGCATGGCTGAGATACAATGAACAACAATTATCAACGGTGCTTGTCTTTGTCCTTACATGAAAATATAATTATTTCTTTCACAGCTAGAACTACCAAGAACTAATCTCATGCAATACGTGCACTCGTTGTGATAAAGAGGGAAATTAATACGTACAGACCCCTTACTTTGCTTCCACCTTCTCCATGGCGGGCGAGGCGAATGCTGCAGAGCTTTGTTATCACTATGAGCATGCTCCCATTAAAATGTGGAACATGATAATCGGAATAAAGCTGTTACTTTGTTAGCAGAATGCGTTCAAAACAACGAGGCGATAAACCAAAGGCATGCTTGCAACTTGAATTACGGTTATTTAAAATCGCAAGCTGGCGTTCGCCAGAAATGAATAATCTATGAGGTTTGCTGAAAACCTCAGAATTTATGGCTGCTGAAAAATTAAACAACCCGTAAAATATCACGCCCTCGCATTTGCTACTCACTACTGACACTAGATGTACCTGTTAGTTAGGCTTGTTAGGTATGAATTTGTCACTCTATAGTAATTCACACAATTAAGGTGTTATATTTGACTTAAGTTCCTACAAGGTGGTGTAGATACTCTCGATGAATTGGCAGGATTCCGGCTTAGTCAAATTGTAGTTTCACTGGCGAAGCGACAGTGAGATAGTATTCAAGTTGAGAATTTTAACTATATAAAGATAAAAATACATAAAAAATTTCTGCTTTAAAATTTGCAGCTTGACTGAAGCAAATATTGATCGGAGGTTTTGTAAAAAACATGCGTAAAAATTCCATACGTTTTAATGTTAGTAATCTTCTGATCACAAGATCTTTCCAACCTGAGTTATTATCGCGATTTGTGCTAAATTTCAGGCTTTAATTCCCCCGATCCAAATCGTTAATAGTGAATTGCAGTTACAAATCGATCGTTGATTACGTGCAATGCGACTTTTTTGTATATTAGCAAAAACTGTCATCCCAACTCGCAAAGAGGAATTTGTGTCAATAAATCTTCGAACCAAAATTATCAACAGATAAAACAATACGTCAGCATTTTGGACCACAAGATGATACAGATTACGTATCTAAAACGATAACAATTCTATCTTTTTTTCACCAACATGAAATTGTGATGCAAATGTGACGCCGAAGATCCTATAATTATAGTTACGGGCATTAAAAAACTCGCTTCAGTCAAAATAATGGTCAATAAGTTATGCATGCATCCTGAATTCGACCAGAATTTCATTTGCATACAACATGTGGATAAAACAGTGTTATACAATAATTGTCGCTCAGTTAATATACGAAATCATGTCTTAATTGTGGTGAAAAATTGCTTTACAGCCAAATTTTTGTGATCAAAAATATTTTGTCAGTTCTTTTCTAAAAAAGCGTCTTCTAACTTTTTTTATATTAACGTACTTTCTCATGCACATGCAATATGATGTTGCTTGAAACGACAAAACGTATCAACACGAAGTCCGGTTGAAGTTGACTATTCTGATAGACATGATGCACGGCATTAGATACAGATATTTTTGTAAAATCATTTCAAAAACGTTAAAGCTTGTGTTTACGAGGAAGGAGTGCATGTCGGTGAATTTCTATATAGTAAAGGGTTTTAAGAGTTTTCCTAAGAATTGGTTACAGGACCTTGACTTATTTCCCGGCCCCTCCCCAATTCCCACGCATAAATGTTTCCTGCAAGTCGCAAAATGAACCCGTTAAGACATCACAGATTCACAAATCGTCGGCAAAATATCAATCTATTCAATCTTTTCATTGTATAAATGCAATGTCTACGTGCACAGACATTTGAATTTCAAAATATTACGTTGATACTCCAAATATATAGTCCGCGGACTTTGTAATGTCGGTCGAGGGTACAAAATTTTCAGTAAAAACAAAAAAAGAATTCTATATGTATCCATCTTCGGCGATTTACAATTCCTTTATTTAATTCTGAAGGGTTTTGAAAACAAAATAACTTGTTTGCCTACCACACGTTAAACCACAAGCGTTTAAAGAAAATAAACTTTAATTTAGGTCATAGAGCGATGAATAGAAAACCAAGTTGTCATGTCATATAGCCATACTTATTTATGAACTTTAAAGTGTCCGAAATATATTCAACATTTATAAATTGAGCTTAAATTCTCGTGTCTCTGTGATAAAAATTGATTGTGTGAAAGCGGTAGTTTTTAAATTAACAGGTTTTGGCCGGTGTGAAGTAAACATTTGAACAAATTATACATTCAAATTTGGATTTAGTGAATTGTCGTTTGTATCCCTTCGCATTCGGCGTTATTAAATTGTCCATTCTTCTGTAATTTTATTGAACAAATCAAGGCTTGTTTAAAATTTTCATCTTGCTCAAATTCTATAGTTCGAAATATAAGACGATGAGCTTACATTCCGCTTATTACTTCATATTTCATGATTTGGATTGACTCTTCAGATTGCATTGAAAACACTGGAAAGACAAATCTTTAAAATTGATGTGATGAATCAGACAATGACTCGACAGGCTATTGAAGTTGCTGCAATGCATAATACATTACAAGCAAGCTGGAAGGAATAAGTTATTACATCCCCTATAGCTCTGATATCAGTTTTTGATATTGGTTAAAAGATAACTCCGATACAAATCAGAGAGTTATTTTTATGTTCTATTCTTTGTTTCTCATATTTCATTTCGTTTCCGAGGTAGTGTATAGCTACACGACCCGCGACATGACTCACATTAGCAGTTGTTTTCAAAGCCATTTAATGTTTCTATATAAGTAAGTTTCCCCTTATGTTGAAAAAAAAGTCAGTTTGTATGTGTGTGTTGGGTTGCACACTATCGGTTTTCTTTGCAAGTTTATCATAAGATAGCGATAATGCTTCTAAACGCTACAATTACTTTGAAGACTCGACTTTCAAAACGAAATATGTTTAAACAAATAACTCGACGTGAATATGAATTCGCATTAAATATTATTTCCACCTGCTCGTAAAAGCTAGATCTATATTTTGTTTATGTTAAATCGTAGCCTGTTACAATAGTCGTTAAGGAAGCTTAATGTTTTGCGGGAAGAAATGCCTTTAAATTGTAAAGTCGTGAATTTGGGGGGAAACAAAATAAGAATTGTAGAAACGTGATATCGCTTTCTTTGTTCGGGTCTCAATAAACGGTGGTTAGCAACAGCAACAGAAACATCAATCATGCTGCATTAAGTATAAACGTTTTTGTTAATTGGGCCATATATGATGACTAATAGTTTTACACTAAAATAAAGGCATATATGGAGCTCAATTTTTAGCAGACATTTATGCAAGCGTCTCAAACAAAAGCAGACTCCGATCATGTATATACATAACTGGTTCATGTTATTTATGTAAACTATCAACAAAATTGCATAACATATAAAATTATAGGTCCGAACTTGTTAACAATCTAGCAACCTGAAACTCTTTCGAAATTGAACTCTTTTACTGGGAGGTGCAGCTGGGCTGTCCATTCCCCGGAAACTTGAGATGTTTCGTACAAGTTGCCCGGTCTTTAGTATCGATGTGGATACACAACTACACAAATGTAGTTTAAGAATTCTTTGCTAAAATGGTCGGAAATGGCATCAATTAAACTTACCCCAAAGTTTGTTCCCTGCTCTCCTCCTTCAGCATAATAAACAGCACTGGAGAATAGAATGACACCGATGAGTAGGAAAAATATCAGTAATCCAAGTTCACGAAGGCTGGCGCGTAGCGTATGGCCAAGAATTTGAAGCCCTCGTGAATGTCTAGAGAGTTTAAATATCCGGAAGACACGAACCAAACGTATGACTCGTAGGACACCCAAACTCGACGCCTTTGAACTCTTCATTGGCAGGGTAATATAATACGGTAAGATTGCTACTACATCGATGATATTGAGAAACGAACGCAAAAATACAAGCTTTTTCGGCGAAGAGAAGAGTCTTACTAAGTATTCAAATGTAAACCAAATAATACACGCAGTTTCGAGCCCAAACCAAGGCTGACGACGCTCATCTTCGGCCTCTCTTTGGACAGTGCCATTCACAATTTCTTCCGGTTTTGGTCGAAATTGAGGCAATGTTTCGATGCAAAATGTCACAATGGATATGCTGATTACAGACACTGAAATAATAGCTATAATACGAGCGGCCAAACTCGTATCTGGGAACTCAAAGAGCTTCCAAATCGCTCTCTGTAATGGATGGTCCGGTAGGTCCGGCTTCTCTTCCTCTATGTAACCTTCCTCTTGCTCCACACGCTGTAATACATCGTCTCCTAGTTCGTAAAATCGTATTTCGTCAGCGAATACATCCATTGGCACGTTATTAGGTCGTAGTAGCTTCCCCCGGGATTGGTAATAAAATAATATAGCATCAAACGCCGGTCTATTCCGGTCGAAGAAATACTCCTTTTGATTCCGATCATAGTAACGGGCCCGTTTCGACGGGTTTCCCAGTAAACTCTCTGGATATTCATCCAAAGTTTTTTGTCGTGTTTCAAATTTCAAACCCGAGACATTCACAACAACTCGCTCTTCACCCGACTCGTCGTCGTTGTTGTATGATTGTGTTTCATCATCTTGGTCGGGGTTGTGATGTCGCGATAATACGACACCGCCATTTTCTGATTCCGGCAGCGAGCTGCGAGGTTTGCCGTACTGTGTGTCCATATTCTTATCTTGCCTCTCGCTCCATGTTATATAGCGTGTGTCCGAAGGATGATTTCCTACAAACAAGAGAGCAAGAAAGCATCGCATTCAGTATTGAAGACCCAGAGACCGATTATAAGTCCATTACGGCATTATCAATTCGCTTTCACACCACAACACTATACATAAATTCGATGTATAACACAATCATTCGCACACACAAGGACAAAGCGTCTCCCCTCGTTGAAATACAAGCAACACTGTACAAACGTTCACCTGCATAAATTATTTATTTTGCCCGACATAAACTTTTTATTTATTTATCCCGTGAATAAATTACACTCGTGCCGTTCAGATGTTCAGCAACGTACAATAAGCGGCTAAAAGTGTTGACAGGCAGGCATCGCTTAATACGCCTTCTCTTGGATGTGGGTCACGACCTTGTTGAACAAATTAAGATACGTAAGCCTTGACAACGTAAGGTTAAGTCATAAGTGATAGGTGTTTGTAGTCTGTGTAAATATTCAGCATTATCGCAGCGCTGTGTTATACAACAAGAGCAAAGTTTATGACATAGCAATTTTATTAAAATGTCCATTTGCCAGGTATCTCGCAAACTTGGCAGCAAGGACGTCGAAAATAATTATGAAAGAGATTATTATGCTTTGATGAAACTGTCAAAGCACTTGAATCTTTGAGATAAAGCTGGTTAAATTTTCGATCCGGTTCAGTGAATTTATCGAGAGGAAAGTGTAACTATTTATCGAAATTATAATGACAATGTATAGCCATATAGCTTTAATAGCAAGTCGCATGCTATGGTTGTGAGGTGGCCGAGTCACCGCGTACAAAGTAATTCACTTGTCAATATATATACGCGCTAGTTATAGGAAAGACGAAATTATCATCATAAATGATTAGTCTCAATCTAATGCCAAACTGCATGGCAACTGACGGCATACGTTGTATCGCTCATCTAAATTTTACGTTATCTCTATTATCGAATCAATATCCAGAAGAATAGGACACAATTCAGGCGCAATTCGCTCTATTTGGAAACAGTTTCGGTGAACTTGAAATGTAATTTCGGTTCATAAAGCACGCATAGTTGCCATGAACGGTCAAAATTGTTCGAGTATTATTCAATATTCAATGACTTTGTTCTTGTCTGTTGGCTTAATAGTAAGACAACGTATACTTCAAACAGAATCTACAAACGCGTGCAATACAATGATGAAATTTGCGACGCTGTGCTTGAATGAATCTTCGGCTAGCATATCAGATGATCGGGACAGAATAAAATACTGAAAGATTATTCAAAATTTCAAAAGACAATTTCCAAATGTTTCAAAACGAAGGCAAATCCTATCTATATTCCAAGTGTCGTCGCATGCTTACTTTACCTAGCATTTACCTACTTGCATTGGGGTTAATAGGAACATTTAAAATGACCCTAACCTCAACATCCAGATAAGTAAACTGCGTTAGCCATAATTATTACACGGTGCTTTGCCATTTATCATATGCTCATGAGTTTGTTATACTCACGCAAAAACTCAAGTATTCAGGTCGCCGTTTGAGTAAACATATATTTAGGCTCTTAATGATACAAGCGGCATAGATAGCCGTGGCGGTTGTACTCTGTCAAACTGCCAGAAATTCAATGACAGACAGTTCATTTCTTAATGGATGCATGGGAAAACGGCTCTTGACGATTAGTAACTACGATTTGCTTCATGTGTTTAATATATGCAGTTGAAGTGCCGCATTGTCTGAACTTCATTCAACAGAAATTATTCAAGATCAAAACAAAAACTCCCGTACGCATGTATATATATATATATACTTCGTGGTGAAGACGACAATCTAACAAAGACCAACTTATGCATGGGGGGTACTTACGAATATTGCTATGTATACCAGTCCAATAATATGACCGTTCTTCCTTAAGTTATATTTGACCAAACAGAGCGATTTTAGTCTATTCATGACACAGGGTAGAACATGCAGGTTTAAGATTCGGTTAAGGGCTGCTTTCCACGTACGCGTTTTTCATTTTACGCATGCATGCACTTATACACGCACGTAAAAAGGTAAAACCCTAATTGCATAAAAGCAAGGTGGTGAATAAATCGAAAGAACTTAGTTTTCCGCATATCGTTAAGTATAGCTATGCATTTGCTTACCTATGCATGTATTAAATGATAAAAATTTGAAAGCGTTGAAAGTTTCTCACGGTAGGCTCGGCGAAAGGCAAAACTAGAGTTGTATATAGGATTTAGAAATAGTTTAATTCCCTTGTAAAAAAGCAGTGGTATTCAGCAAACGAGCAAACTATCTCCTATAGCTATGTATGTTGTATACAGGCAGACAATCATATCGCTGCATGCAGAAAGAGCGTATAGAAACCTATAAGGTTCGATAGGCCGGTTATTGAAAAATGTTGATGTTCTAAATAAAATATTCAAATATAACTTGAACTTTGGAAAGATTTTTGATGATTTGAATTTTCTACAAACGTGATCCTTTGACGCAATATAACGCGGTATTGTGCGTCATTAGGTACACAAAAACAATATGATCAAGCAATCTTTTAGACAGCAGTTAAACGTCTACTCATAGAGATCAAGGTCATTATTCCAATTTTTTACACTGCGGCCGGTCTATCAAACCCTCTGTGAAGGCTCCGACAATATCTTCAAAGACTCACAATATATTGAATGAAAACCCCTTCGTTCACAGGTTTAAATTGTTTCAAAAGTTTTAGGTCTCAAAGTAACGTTCATGAAAACTGCTCAGTATAGGATAAGAATCTCATATAGCCGCACAAGTTAATATCAATGACATATATGACATTCATGCACGCAGCGTACCTTCTAACCTTAGTTGACCATAGTAAAAATAGTCAACAGAATTCCAAAACGTGCACAGAAATTTAAGTATTTTTTGAAATAATATAATTATAGAGAGTAGCTTTTTATAATCCAGTAACTACAACGGAAATTGAATTTTGAGACTTTTATCACTGAAAGCTAAAACACGGACAGATATCTCCTAGCGCTCGGCGAATAAATCAGTCTCGTCATGATGTCGTCATCATTTGGGGTTCAAGTGACGTTTTTCTGTGTGGGAATATTTTGCGATTGTTTCCGAAAGCTTCCCATAAATCAAAGTAAGTTGTTCATTAATTTCTAATAAAACTTTTTTTCGAACACAATCACGATAGATATCCAACACGCGTCGTTTAAACGAACCACCTTTAGGGAAATCTTGTGGTTTGGAGCGCGAGTTGAGGCCTACAATGTCAATCTCAATTATATATTTCTTAAATAAGAGATGATGGCCTACAACTGGTGATAATAGTTTAATCAGAATTAAAGAAGTAAATAATTTTATTGCCATAACCACAATGCTTCCAAATCCGGCGTAAACGGATTCTGAATGTCTCAGTCTCAGAGAGATATCTGTTGTATAGGGCCGTATAGCTAGTGCGCAACGTTACTCTTTTTTTAATATTGTCCTGTTATGATAATGCACATACAAGAAGCTGTCCGGTGATGAACTGTGATTATAGACATTAGAATATAACTGATTTACATATTGGAAAAAAGAAAAATATTAGGATATTATATGTACGCACAAAAATATTTGATAACTACAATTTGAACACTTCCAAATCTCTTTCATTTCATGTATAAACTTAGCATGATTTAATCAACCTTAAATATGCGGCAAAAGAGATTTTTGAACGTAGGCTGTTCTTAATGTATTCAGGACTGGAGCGGCCACAACACCACAATTTGAAACTCAGTATACTGTCGTACGAATTTTCGCATTTTATACATTTGCTTTGTTATAACTAACATGACCGGCTTTTGCATTGTAACATCATTATACAGCAACCTTGGAGGTCTTTTATTTTCAAATTGTTTTGAGTTGCTGAGCAGTAAGATCTAATAACATGCATTTGTATAATGCCATATATAACATATAATTTGATCTCATTTCTCAAAGGCAAATGAAAATAACAATATAAGAAAAAAGTGGGATCCTTTATACTTTTACCAAAGCAGGAATAAAATGTTTGTTGGGGCCAAATCAATCTCCATTAAAGAAAGAAAGAAATACAAATGTACTGTACGTGCAAAATTTACGCATAAAATATTTAACAACTTTAAAAACAAACATGTTTTAAGTATGAATTTTTCCTTCTGTTCTTTGCCGACTTAATTAACCTTTATTCTATTGCTGAGTTTGTAGATAACTGGGTTGTTTCCATATAAAGTAAACATGTATACTAGGACTCTTGCCAATTTAAATGATGCGATGAAATTGAGTATTAGCAAAAGTTGAAGAAGAGTTAAAGAGAGTTGTAAACGTCCGGTGCAAAACGGTTCCGGCCACGATATCAGTATTTAATAAAATATAATGCAGCTAATGGCGGTTAATAATTGTTTGTTTCTCATACTTATGTGATTCAGCTATTAATCGTTGCAAACAGGCCAAGTGATATACTTGCTCTTGAGCCGCGTGAGAATTTTTTTCTTTCAAACGTCGCACTTCTTATACGTGCCGACAGCGTAAACATTTTGGACATAACGCCTAACGGTGTCTAAAATTAATACCTTTGTAGCTTTATGCTTTTTGTATTTGGGTTAATGGATAGCAGCTATTATTGTAATACCGTTTATCAAATGCATTATATATTATCATATTAATGCCGTGCTGGGTGTGTTTTAACGGCGGCTATAATAATAATTAGTATCCCCAAATAATCCCACTTGATCTGGACATTTTACTTGTTCAGCTCCCAAGAATTTCATGAACATATATAATGGGAATTAAGGAAAACGTATTATGATGGCACGTATTTATCAAAAATTTAACCACCTGCGTCAAAAAATGTGGTAGCTATAATGCTATAATTATAATTTAATAGATTTTGTGTATACTACATTAATAATACATAGTTTACTTAGTTTTCGATACACCAAGCAATATTGGGTTCAGTTTATTTTCCACAACAAGTCTGGGACTCGGGCAAATCAGTTTTCCGATAAGGAAAAATCAGATCATGGAGCGATTTATCTGCATTGATTTGAATAATTAGGTGACTGCATAAAATTGCACTCGGAAAATGCCGAGAAAATCATCTAATTCTATAGAAAACTAAATACTAATAAAACTAAATTTACGAAACAATTAAAGTCAAAGAATAGTTATTTTGCCTGATATAAGTAATGAGGCTGAAACATTACGTCGAATAAATAACTAAACAGTCAACTGAGGATAAGGCCAGTTTCGACTTCATCCGTATCGCAACGTAACGTAGCGTATTTCTTTGTTTCCGAGGTATTTGACCAGAACTAATGACTTTAAAACAATGAGATACGCTACGTTTCGCTACGATACAGTTGGAGTGGAAAACGGCCTTAATGTATATAATTTAGGTCCGAACACTGCGAACAATTTGCAATGGGTTCGCTGCGATGATATCAGCAAATCATTCTATTATTTTTAAAAAAAACTGGAAAAGTAAAGAGTAAATTTGCATGCACATTTCGAAGACATCAAAACAATACGAAGAGTGTAAATCGGTAAATATTCGACTTCATTTCAAAGGCATCTTCAGACAAAGCTAAGTACAATATTTTGACATATCATTCTCATAATATATTCTCAAGATGTCATTACATTCAGAATTCAGTCTTCGCTTTTCTTTTTCAAAGCTAGAAATATTTATGCGAGGGAAAATAATTTTCGCAATCTTGAACATCTCTTGATTATATATTTTGAATGTTTAACAGTAAATAAAGTTTTCTGCAAAGTTACATGGAAAAGTGGAATAAGAATGTTTAATTTCGCTGGTAATTTTGTCTTTGTAATCCTTCTTCCTCTTTCAGACTACGAGACTGAAGTTCACACCTCTGAACTTCTCATCGCTCCTAGTTTATTCAAATTTCAATAATGATGTCTAAGCGTAAATAAATAAACAATTCCCTCTAAATTGCCAACATTATAAGAGTCTTTGTAAAAAAACTGAACGCGTCCCCCTAAATTAATTATTTTTAGCAAAAGCGCTGTTAAATGTGCTAAGAGAACGATTGGCTCATGCAATACAGGGCAAAAATGTAATCGTTGGTCTTGTGGAATAATGAATTTTGTTCTCTGAATTAAATTAAACAAATTTGAGGTAGCCAATATTGGCCATTACGTAACAGGTTGCCTAGCAACGGAATGTTACCTGCTACAAGACACAAAAATGTCCTTACTTATTTGTGTATGTCGGCACGTAGGATTCTATAAAACTCTTAGTTAGAAAACCTTATTCCATCATTTAAATTAATTTTCATTCAAACTGAATGAATATTCAAATAGCTAGATTTACTAAACAAAGCGTTCTCTGTTTAAGGAATACATACACACACGTAGAATATACGATTTAAACGTCAGCCGCTTTGTGTGCGTATAAACAGCTGTCAAACAGGATTATGGGTTAGTCTGTTAAGCATTTCAATTCACTTGTTATCATGATTAAGGCTGAAACACATCAAAGAATCCCTATATATTTTCGCTGAGAGACAAAAGCATTGTTTGTCGTACAACACAAAAGCATTTTGTGCCATATAACCCGTATGCAGATCGTGCTTTGACTACGTCTCTATAGCCCGCAACATTTATCGCTTCGTACTAGATACGATTGTGAATTCTATAACTCGCTCGTTCAACCTGATGCTAATAAAAACCATAGAAGGCATTTAACTGGGTTATTTTTAGTGGGCTTTTGTGACCTGCTGTATGAGGAAAAGATAACCGATAAATTGCATATGTTTTCCGCGACAAAATCTTCTTGACTTACCGTCGTCAGCAGACGATGGGTGCTTGAACGCTTTCCGCCAAGATACCCCGCTATACCTCCGGCGTTACACGCCATGCAGTTCCACGCTTAGCCAACTTTAAATGCAAGGTGAGTTAAGAAATCCTGATAACTGGTCTTCGGCCGATTTTGCGATATAAAACTCAAGAATTCAAAAACAAACTCGACGCTATTCAACGGTTTATCGGTAAATCGTCCAAATCTATTGATTTACGTCTTCAAATAATGCATATAATTCCACGGGAACATGTCCAAAATTAGTAGTATATACTCCCATCCACTACGTTGTATTTTCTTGCACAGTCTTCGCGCGTCATTTGGATAAACAACGTTTACATTAAGCGTGTTGGCTTTGACCAAATAAGGCGTGTAGCTAGCGGGTTTACATGGCCCTCGCACTTTGAGATATTCGTAGTAACCTTGAGTATAGTCTCAGAATCAAAAAGACTATAATAAAATCTTTGCTCGAGTAGGCTTGCTTGAAATAAACAAACGAAAGATCGATTTCCGACGTACTCCTGCTCGTCTGTTTTTCTAATTATTAATTTGCCGTGGACGTTTTGTAGTTTATCAATAATTAACGAGCAACAAGTACGAAATGTGGAATACTTAGTTTATCATCGAAATGTGGTTTTATGTACGACTTTCAGATAAAAATTGAGATGATTTGAGATGTTTTTGTCTTCGTTTTCGACCTCAGGTACATGCAAACATTCTAAACGTTTCATTTCGAATAAAATTGTGCACAGCTGTCGTTGAAACAAGCATTTCATAACAGCTGGGGATGTGCATGTCTTCTAAAGAAAATGAATAATTCCAAAAGTTTTTGTCCGAGGGTCGGGTTTTCGTATATTTATCTTGTATTAATTCTAAAGTGTCCTTGTGCCATGTCACGTTAATTTAGCATGGTCAGGAAACCGAAAAAAGCATCCGAAATTTACGAAGATGATAACTCGACGCTGGGTTCGGCGGGAGCTTTAACTAGGGGTTTAGTACCTTGTATCGGAAGATGATCCCTGGTTCAGTTTTCCTATTAACAATAAGTAAGCAGCTGCTGCATAACACTGATCTCTGTTGATCTCTGGACCTCACAATTGGGGCGTTTTATTTCTTACTCTAAAACTGTGTTTGTCGAAATGAAACATCAGACGTTACTGCTACAGGACGTGAAAATGGTGCATAAGGGTGAATGGCGTTCTACGTTTTTTAGAAGGGAAAATTATGATATCATTTTCACGCCATCATCAGTTTTAGTCGTTTCTCAATCTACATGTAGAGGAGGGCGCTGAGGAGGTTTTGTATATTAGCATTCTCTCTATTAAGCCCCCGAGGGCTTATTCTTTCCAGACTCTTTGGAGGGGGGGTTATTAAAGAGGGAGGGTTTAATTGAGGGGAGGCTTATTTAGAGTTATCCATAAAATCTCAGACAATTTTTCGCAAAATGTAAGCTTATTAATACGTTCATAGTATTATAGGAAAACAAAATACACATCAACACAACAGCAAGTTTTAAAATGTTGAAGTGCAAGTACAACAGTTCCAACAGTTACGCTTCAATGTATTTCATCATCCTCATGCATCTAATGGGGATGTTTCTGTTGGTAACTTTTTCAAACTTCCAAAACCCATCCAACAATTTTTTGTCTTCATGTTCATGCACTGACAGCCAAAGATCATACATTTCTTTTAATACTCCTTCATTAGTTTATTCCAGCTTATGTCTGCCGCTTAGATGTATTTTGTTTAACCGCCAGGGACTATGACGCCGTTAACTTTACCCTGGTTTAGAATGTTATTCACGGCAGGTGTTAGGTGGCAGCTAAATGCATCCCATGCAAACAGGTGACCTCCACCGAAAGAAAAAGTTATCGCGTATCACGTTGCAAAAGAATTACTCCGTCAATGGTTCACCTATCCACCCGTTGTCACTGCTTGTTAGAATAAACTTATTTTTAAACCGTTCATTCAGCTTTTTTTACCTCGCGCTTCGCCCCTTTAAACATAATGAATGGCTTCTTGGTGCCGTCGGCCGCTATATTTTCTTTTTTTAGTAATCGGAATTTAGTAAGATTTACTGTGTGTGTTACTCGTTTTTCAATTGAAGTATTTCAGATCATATCGTTCCACAATAATGTATGCACATTATTAGTTTGTCAACAATTTGATCGAATCCTTTTCGAGCTATAGTTGTACACCGTCTTACCGTGAACCCGTTTTTTTTTTAAACTTTTCAAGCCATACGTCGCTAAAGTTTAGTGCAATGATGTTCGGGCTTCTTTTTCCATTTCTTCCTGCAGTTTTGTGGCTATAACCTTGACAAATTTTCGTCACACTCGTATCCTGTGCTGCGTCTCTCAACCATCCACACCAACAAGTCTTCTTCCAATTTATCCGAAGTGATATGTCTCCCGCCACCATCCAGTCGTTGCCTTTTCCAACTCGAATTTTTTTGAGCTGTTCAGATTCTCCCTTTTTGTTTTCCAATATAGAATACTTTTCCCTCAATCTTGTACTTCTTGGATGCTGCATGGATCGAGCTGGCTTCAGCAAAGTGGAGGTTTCCAAATTCAAATCGGTAGAATATCCACATACTTGATCACTTTATGAGATGTTGATTTCAACCGGTCTTCTTACATAAACGATTTGGAATTTCTAGGTTTTTTTTATCAAGCTATGCACTTACAAGCGATTATACAATATGAACTTGCGTTATAGCCTGAAAGATTTTCAAGAAATCAATCACAGATGCAAATCGCACCTGATTGGATTTTTTTTGTTTGCATAGTAACGAAGTAACGGATCGTTTTCCCGATAATTTGCAAAAGGGATAGTTTTAGTTTCATTGTATCAAAACTCAAATCAGTATGCCGATTGGCAAGAGTTCAAGGAATATCCTTGGTCAAACTATTGCAAATTCGAAACTGTGGCTCGTGGGTGTCACATCTACAAGAAAGTCTGGAAGCCTGAGATAGAAAGAAGCTCGCGTGCAAACATGATAGAAGGGAAGAAGTAAAGATTTTCGACGACTTTGCAATTGGCGTTCGCAAATTGATACCGTTGTATTGATCTCAACTGCCCCAGAAGAAATAATTGTGGGCATGCATTTGCCCATTAAAATTTCGTTTCTAAATTTTTGGAACGTGGTGGGTGATCCTTACAATTCTCACCGACCGGAGCAACGTTTCTTGAAGATGGACTGGTGGTCCCGGGACACTATTTTGCTTATTCGACCAATAAGAAACTTATAGATGTGCAACATAAGGAACTACTACGCCGAGTACTACTGCACATAAATTGAATTGGCAATTATGGATCAAAAAATCAAAAACAAATTACTTTAAATAAAAAGTCGAATATAGGAGACTTCTGATACACGGGGGACGATCTTAATAGATGGGGGGGAGGGGGGGCGCTTAATTGATTTATTCTTCAAAGGGGGCATTTGGGAGGGAGAACTAAATAGAGAGAATGCGGTATAATTATATTTACAAGTTCTATTTACAGTCCCCCTTCCCTATCAAGTACGCCAGGACGATGCGAGGAAAGAAGGGAAGGGAAGGGGGGGGGGTTCTAGTGGATAGGAACTTTTAGAATTATGCAAACTAAAAAGTGTTAAAAAATTTTTCTCGTTTTTCGGTCTGTTGTTACATGATTCTGGTGTCTGCATTGGAGTTTTTTTACCAGACGATTGTGCTATTCTTGAGCTGGTGCATGGTTGCATTCCAAGATTTTTCGAAAGCTGTGTTTTAGCGCGTTCCAGCGCAATACTTTTTACAGATAATACTTGTTTGACGTCCTTTTCCTTCCTAGTAAAAGGCAAGAAGAAAGCTACATCAGTTTTCCCTGCTTTCCCTTCTGTTCCGGCGTCCCAGTCTTCCACTACGTCAGCATTGAAAAACTATGACAACTAACTAATAGGAAATGACATTTTGATGTCATTTGAAGACTGGAAACTAATTTCACTGACCTGAGCAGGCCGATTGTGTAGAAGGTTAATAATTCATGATTGAATTAATATAATTAACTAGAAATACATGCATGCAGCAAACCCTCGCCATTTCAAACGAAGCAAAATATTTCCTGAGCTAGCCAGACCTAACCTTCAATATTATGAAATGTCCTAAATGTAAAGCCGATAGCTGATGTTTCAAATTTTTCGGAAACAAACACAGTCGTAAAGATGAAGTGAAATCACCCGTTTTTCTGCTGCTTTCCGTTGCATTAAGTTATAGAATTTCACAGTTTAAGTGAGAGTTAATAATTCATTATAGCTAAACCTTCAAAACATCAAAACAGCACAAATAATATAAATAACCAAGCAGTGAACGTCGAATGTTGTTTTTCGATTATTAAATTCATGCAGTTATTGCAGTCGACTCTATTAACCTTTAAAGTGATATTTGTTATATTAAAACTCCGAATTACACTTTTAAGAACTCTTTTTGAAGTTAAAACGATGATGTAAAGCCTTAAATAGTGGGTCACGTCTTCGCAAAACCGAGCAAAACGACATACTGTACCAAGGTCATAAAATGTATTCGTACAGCAAATACGAAATAAACCTCGAAATAAACAAAATAGACTCCTACCATTTCAAGGATTATAAACGAGTTGTTCCTTTTCACCGTTAATTCTTCCAGTTCTGATAATATTTTAAACTCTTCCCATTGTTTTATCTGTTATTTGATTCCACATTTCATATTGTAATAGTGTTATGTACTGTAATAGTGTTATGTACAGATTTGATGCTACACTGGACTGAAGCAATTATCAAAAACGAAGCCAGCATTAAAGGAATATCCAAGGAGATCCTAATGGATAAACATCAACCGCCAAGAAAGGTCTGTTTATTTCGATTCTGCCGCGTGATATCTTGGTGGTACAGTGTTCATACAGGGTTGTGGTCATGCTATGTTATTGTGTATTATAATATTAGGTATTTTACCTGAAAAGAAAAGCTAGGTTGTGGGTAAACACCACTCTTTGAAATGCAATTCCACCATGCAGTTTTGAGTACGGGAAAACCCCGCCGGGTTCCTAGTGTATAGTTTAATGACTTTAATAAGGGGATTTTAGATTTGAATTGTAACCTGAAATATTTGGCAAAAGGTGTCTAAAAGGAACTGTTAAATGCAATAACTGATAACCTATTTTACCGTAAAAAACTAGAACGTGGGCATAATGCCGATTCCTGGTAATATGCATGTATGAATTGGGTGTTTTACCGTGAATCTTTCGCTATTCGCATGAAACAATAAAGGTTACCAAGGGTCAACCTTCACAAAGAAAGGATGACGAAGCACAAACTAAACTGCAATAGTTTATAGTTACTGTTATTAGTTACTGCACTGAAATGAACGGAGTCATATCAATAAACCAAGATAAACATTGCGTGGAAACCACACTAATGATGACATCGTAATCATTTACATTAAGTAAAAAAACGTAGCCAATAAAGATATCAGATAGCGTCTTTTTCAGTATTCACCTAAGTGATTTATAATCACGACAGGAACCGGAAATAACCCCTGCAACTACAATGTGTATAAATGTATTCGACCGTCTGAAATTTGAACCAGAAAGAAGTCACTATCAGGAACAGATATAGTCGCAAAATAACAAGTTTTTCATTGGGTTTGATAAACACAAAACTGAAAGATT